TCATATTTTTCCTCTGACCAGTCCATCCAATGCTGCCTCTTTGGGTATTGTTTGCTTCTGTGTTTGTAGCGATTTTTAATGGCAAACTGATTGACAGTTGAAAAAGGGATAAAATATGTTTGTTTTTTCGAACACAGCTAAAGCATCTGTCGTTATACATGAATGCAAAAATGTTTCAATGTAAATGTTGTAAACCAGACTCACCCCGATACATTTACACACGGACCCCATGATGTTTCCCTGTGGTTCAGCTTTGTAGTACATACCACTTCCAACGATAAACACCACTGTAAAGGGCATCACAGTCACATCATCATTATCAGTGCCTAGTTTGCCATGTATAGAATCTGAGTTTAAATTATTTAGACATACCAAGTGCAACCAACATTAGTGCTGCAGGGACACCGAAGGCCAGAGAATAACACTTCTGCTTACTGTAGATGCCACAATCCTGAGCTGCAGATACATAACCATCATTAAACTACAGTTCAAATCACTCATTCTGTTATTAGATGTTATCAAATGCACTCATGTTTATGGTTTCTCATAAACTTTAGGATCTGTTCATATCTACCTCTCAGGATCGGAGTGATAATGGTTGACAGGAGACTCCCACCATTGATGCACAGGTAAAATACGGAGAAGAAAGTTCTCCTTTGCTTTTCCTACACAGAGAAATGTCAGTGATCTTCATGTGTTGCATGGATGTTCTTTATACAATGTGTAACATCTTTCAAATGTTATATCTGTTTATGATATTAAATGATTCAACCAGAAGAAATTATAAGCTGCCACTGATAACACTTTAGGGACGGCTATGTCCAGACCGAGGTATCTCTATTGGATGGTTTGTACTGACATTTTGTACAGACATTTCTCCAGAGGACAAATACTAAGGGAAGTTGGTCATTTGATGACTATTCATTTGGTACTAGCATGAATTTGTAATTTGTAATTTTGACACAACTATTGGAAGTTTGTCATAACATTTAGTGCACTCAATCATAGACCGTTGGGCAGCTTTGATTCTGTATTGCACTGATTGCTGATTTTCCCATTTTTTGCTGACAAATAATAAGATAAAATATATCAAGTAGCAGTAACTTCCTTGTCAAAACCTGGCACCTGCATTCCTCACAAAGCCCCTTGACTGCAGGAATTTCCTGATTTGGGCGCATTATTCTAGTAACAGCAAATGTAGCCTAAAGTCACCAGCATCAAGAAGGGATGGACCAGACCAGCATCATGTCATTCAAAATTAAAATACATTCCTGACACACACACACTATCAGCCTAAGCTATTGTTTAATCTAATTCTCAAATCTATGACATTCAATAAAGAACATTGTCATTGTCAAGGCCAGAGTTAAACATTAGTGGAGAAGGAGAAGTGTTCTAACCTGATGGTTACCGAATTGGTCTCCACCAAAGGCAGCAACACAAGGTTTAATGCCACCAGTGCCCAGAGCGATGAGGAAGAGACCCACCATGGACAGCACGCTAAATGTGAAGAGGAATATATACATGAGCAGAGAGTACCATAGAAATATGTGAGTCATATTTGCCTGCCAAAATCCCACATCCTGTACTTAATATGTTGTGTAGTTGAATAGAAACCCACACATGAAAGGTCATGTTGTCTGGTGTCCCGTCTCTGTCGTAGTCAGTGATGTCATGGATTGCACTGATAGCCATTGTAACCTGGCCGATCGCATACACAATGGACAAGTAGATGATAGTCCTGCAAAGAGAAGATGGAAAGAGAAGCAGCCGTGAAGTTAGTGCTTAGTAGTAACCCACTAGTTGTATTAGGTTTAGCTACTTAATAAGTTACTTAGTTAAAGTGGACCTATCATGCTATATCATAATAATATAGTGTAGGACCATACCTATATAAGGCATATTTATACTTTTTTTTTTCAAAATACCAAACAGATCATGCATTTTAGCCATGCCTCATTTCGCTCAATTTGCATTTTTTTACCCCTGTTTTTGCAAGGGCTGATTCTGTGAGAACAGCACCATCTACAGGACTGGCATATGTACTACAGCGTCTCCAGCGCTTTCGAACGGCAATGGCCGTGGCTGTCTCCTCCTGATTGGTGGAGTTGGCCCAATAGCCGTAGCGCCACCGTCCTGACGTCAGGACAGTGTTCAAATCTGGATCAGTTTTGATCAGATCCGTTGCAGCCCCTTTTTTAGAGATTTGGGTACGGAGGAAAATAGAGAGGGTTGTGTTTTCTGACACTTGGTGAGTTCCCTGGAACACCGGGGACACATATTCATGTATAAAAGACGTACAAAAGTGCATTTTGCATGATAGGTCCCCTTTAAGTCTAGGGTTTAAACCTAAGGATTGCAATTTGTATTTTGTCTTTCTTCTTTATTAACTGAATTGAAAAGTTATTCAATGAGACCATCTGAGAAGTTGAAATGTGAAACACAACTCATAGCAATTTTAAAAGTAGCAAGAAGCCCTAATTAAACAATATTTTTTGTAAAAGGTCAAAGTGCACTATTTTAAAATGTTGTGGAGGAGAATTACAAAGTAGAAAAATTGATATACTCAGGTAAAGTATAAGTACACCCATTTCTTACTTAGTTAAAATACTAGTTAGACCCTTTCCACCACTGACAGATAGTTATCCACTGATTTCTTGCATAGGTTTAATGACACATTTTTTTAAACTCACTTAAACTTTCCCAGCCAGGAGTCAGCCACAATGGCCCCGAGGATGGGGGTCAGGTAGCAGAAGGCCACAAAGACGTGGTAGATGGAGGTGGCCAAGTCATCGTCCCAGAGCAAGAAGTACTTGAAGTACAGCACGAGTACAGCTGTGGACAGGTAGGTGAGATTCTTCTTATTTCACAATGCAACACAATAAGACTGCACAGGGTCAGCTCTAAAACATATCTGGTCATGTTGTGCATGAAACATCAAGTGGCAGAAAAATAACTTAGATATTTAATTGAATAACAGTATCTATACCACGGTGTAGAAATACTGTGCTACAAGTTCAAGTCACAAATTAAAAGAATGTTAGCACCAACAAAAAACTATTAGCCTGTATACTAAAATTAAATATTATTTTACAATAGCCCTTTTAAAAAGAATGTCGAAACATATCATCAGATTATGATTTTTGATGCAGTAATGTGTAAATCACCTTAATATGTAATAATGCGGGATCATTTAAAAAAAAAATATATATATTTTCATTTCATTTATGTTTTTCGAAGTCTTGAGACTTTATACTTTATATTACTTTATAGGAAGTTTTATTTATTTATTCAGATTAAAATGATATAAAATATAATCATAAAAAATGATTATATAATCATTTATATCATCATTTTTTATGATTATATTGTATATAATTTTAATCTGAATCCTCGAAGCAACTCATCACATAATGTAATCAAATGAATACACTGTAGTACAAAGTACAGAGTTTGCCCCTGTAATAAAGTGGAGAAGTACTGTATCAGGTAGCAGAACATGTAAATACTCAAGTAAGTAAAAGTACCTTCAAAATGTTACTTGAGTAAATAACTTGTTTTTCAATGCAGCAAATATCCAAACACTCATACAAATGTATTACGTTTTTTCGAATCCCTTTTTAAAAATACAGCAGTTTTCTGTTGGGACAACGCTATCATTAAAGTCTGGCTAAGTTGAGGGAAAAATGGTGGTTTGGTTTAAAATAAGTAGTCATGGTTACAAAAATAGTCACATGGTCAACGCTCTGAGACGCAGTTTTCTCACCTCGCATGCCATAGTAGGAGAACCTCTCGCAGAACTCATTCACAACAATGAAGAAGATGCTGAGCGGGTAACCACACACCTCTTTGCTCTGATGGATCAAACAAACAGCAGCATGGTGTTCAGCAGGGTGGAATTTATTTTTATAAATCATATATACCACAGCAAGAATAAATCCATTACATATTTAAAAAAGTTAAAAGTTAAAGCACAAAATTGTCAACTAAATGGAGTTTGTGTATACAATTAAATGGGCTCATTTAGCATGATCCCTGTCACTGTTATTTTATATTACTGGATCCACATTATAAATGCATTAACATGTAAGCATAATTCCATTGCTTTAGTCAATTGAGTTGGAGCTAAATTGCAACGCTTTAAAAAAAATAGTAGCCTACTAGCTGTAGAAATAATTGAAGTGGAGCAAAAAGCACAACATTTTCATCCGAAATGTTACAGATTAAACTTGCATTTGTGAAAACAAATACAAATACATAAATTACTTAAGTAGTGCTTGGTATTCACTAACCTACTGTAATATTGAGATGGTTGCTTTGTTCCTGTGGATTATCATTTAGATTTACGGAACAAAAAACCCCACAAATAATTGCATCAATGACCAATAAAAAAGATTAAGCACATTACCGTTCCTCTGTTCTTCCTTCCTTTCTTAGGATCCTCGTTATCTGTGGACAAGATTGAACTAGCTTTAATAACCAGCTGTATTTCTCAAAAAGTGAGGGCTCCAGTAGCCTTCATTTTATAATTTAATACAAATCAATTTCCCCAATGTTTCAGATTGAAATTGAGAAAACAATACAGCTGCAGTTCAAAGGTTTCGACAGGTTTCGTTCTGACTTCCCCCTCGGGTGTCGGAAGCTTCTGCAATTTAACATATTTCTGAGGGTGACCATGGAAATTTACAAAAACAAATGTTTGCAAACCTACCCGCCATGATGTTTTCTTCTGCAGTTTAAAATCCCTTTGAGAATACCAATTGATCCCTCACTGTGGGAGTGGGAGTGTTTCCGTAATATTGCTTCTTATTAGCACCTTGATCTGTCATCCACTCTGCTGACTGCGTTGCTTTTATGATGGGAACATGAGATATAGGAGATATGGAACATAGCTCACTTCCTAACTGACACCTCATAAAAACTCCACAATTCAACCAAAAGAAAATGCAAGAACACACTTTAATGCAAGTGGAAATAAAGTCAGATTTCATGAAAACAAGTGCAGAGAGATGAGTGTGTTTTATTTAAAAGAAAAGCATTAGGGTACATCTCTGTTTACAGCAGAACAGTGACTTTGTGTTAAATAAAAATAAAAAACCCATTGCTGTCCAAATATAAAACAATTTCTTGAACATTTCAATAAACACTAAAATGGTAAAAGCTTCTTATTACTTCCACAGTAGGCGTAGTGTTTGTATCCACACCTCATCGCTTTGGCAATAAGGTGAACATCATCTTTACAGTGTATGAGCCCCACACAGCAAGATACAAATATTGCACACACTCCTTTTTTTATATACATTAATAAACATTGTGGAATATACTATTTTGTTTGCAATGGCTTTAAATATTTAAAAATGCTCCCGTTCTAAGACATTGAAGTGATTTAAGGTTGAACGCTAACACGTGTCATAGGAGGCCCTTTTAGTAGAAATATAACTTCATGTACAAGGAGAGGAGTGTTGACGCAGCATATACTGTCATCATACAGTGGTATATAAAAGTGGAATACTGTACATACAAAAAACACATGTGAAACATTATCAAAATAAACATAAAATGGACTGTTGGGAGGGTGGTGGGTGTAATGTAAAGACATGCATGTTAAAGGTCCCAACAGGAATGTCTCCTTGGAAACACGGCCCAGTCTTTTCAGGTAGAAATAGGTGACACAATATGTCTGGCCATAAAACAGGAACAAAGTCTGTCCTGCAAGACCCTTAGGCTTCACCTCAGTACTGTCACAGACCTCCAACACAGGGACCAAGCCGTGGATATATTAATATATAAAGTAGGTCCAGTGCCTTGGTCATGGTTCTCGAGGAAGGTGGTCAGTGGTCTGTGCCTTTTACAGTTTCCCTTTGAGCTGACTGAAGAGAAGCAGGATCAGGGTCAGAAGCGACAATATGGCATCACCAGCAGGCCTGGTTGGCGAGTATAGCGGGCGCTGAGTTCAAGGGTCAACCAGCATCATACCACAGAGGAAGAGCTGGGGATGCCGTGGATGGTGGCACTGGTTGGCGTGCGGCTGATGGCGTTAAAGATGTGAAGAGAGTCTGGAAGAACGCTCTTCATGCCATCTTCCACAGGACTGATCTGGAAGGGAAGAGAGATATTAAAAAACAATTTTAGATATTGTTAGGTCCCTATTTACTGCCATATAAAGCTCTTATTACTACATCCACCAAGGATGTGGTTTTGGTGTTTGCTTGTTAGTTTTTCCACAGGATTACAGATGAACTAAAGGCCACATTTTCATAACACTTTGTGGAAAAGCATTGGACAAGTAAAAACCCATTACGTTAGGACTGGATCCAAATAATTTTGAGTCTCTTAAACAATTTTTAAAAGTAAAAACAACCAAGCTTCTTAACATTAACACACAAATAAACAGACAAATCATGGAAAGTATTAATAAGATTGTGCATATTATACAAAAACACATGTAAGTATATAAGCACACACTTTTTGATGAATGTAAATACTTAGACACACACTGTTTTAAACATGCAAATGTATATGTTCAAATATACATTTAAGGCCATGCATACATAGTACACATTGTACACACATGCAGAAACTACATGTCAGCAATCAAAAGAGATAAGTCCAGAAATTATTGTTGATCTAGACAGCTGCTGCATCCTTAGTAGATGGGTGGGTTTAGAGATTTGACGAGTGGTAAGGCTGAAACTATCTGATGATTTATCAATTATTCTGCAACTACTATGCTGACAAATACATTTGCATGCAAGATGAGAGCACTTGCTGCTTATCTTTGTCTTATTTTAAAGACAAGGAAAAATACTGAATATGACTGAATATCTTTTTAGATAAATCGTTTATGAAAATAACTTTTAGTTTCCTCCACATTAAAGAGGTTAAGCCTTTCTTAAGCACAGTGGACATGCCTTCAATGTGTGACGATACGTAATGTTAGGCTCCTTTATTTATTACAGGCATGTAAAGATAAGGCTCGTCTGTGATCCGATCAGATAACTCAGGAATATTATCTATGTATTCTGTGCTTTTAAAGTTCAATAGAAGGGCCATAGCTGGAGTTTTATATATTTTTTAAACATTTGGCAGGTTAGGAACAGGTAAACTGAGATTTATGATTAAGCCAATCACCCAATTTGACAGATTCTAGAAATGTATGAAAGGTCTACATAGGTCAAAAGTGACTTTGAAATCAGGATTTGAAATGGTTGGACATTGCAACATCCAATAGCTGTCAACATTGAGGGTAATATCTGAAAACAGATGCCCATTGTCAGGCTGGATCAACAAGTACCAACTCAGTCTTTATTGCATTGTGTGCATTACCATCCAATCTGCTCATGTAAGCACAAGGGAAAAACAGAGAATGGTGTTATTAAAGAGCATGTTTTCAATCACATTATTACTTTTAAAGAATGGCAGTCACACATGCCAATTAACAGTTGTACTATTAGCAATGCAGAATTGAACTCACTTGTTCATGCATGATGATTGACAGCTCTCTGGCCAGGTCTCTATAGCTTGCTTTCATCTCATCGTGATACTCCTGTTGGTCCTCTTTGATCAGACGCTCATTAATACCCAAGCCGTGACCACAGGCTTCCACAAAGTGCCTGTTCAACAAAAAAATTGTGTGTTTAATGAATTTTACACAAAAAAGTAAAATCACACATAATAAGCCGTTGACATCTCATCTCACCTGAAGACCTCTTTCAGCTGTTTGACCTTGTTATCTGGATTCTTCTTGGCGCATGCATCGTCCAGGAAAGCTCGTGCATATGCAAGCGGCCCTGCGTTAACCTGACGGAGGAAGCAGGAGCTGTGTCATGTCATGTTTTCTTTTTCATGATTATTACAACAGATTATGTCTAACGTATGTGCATGTACATTTTTGACACATTTTAAAGCAGGCACCTGCACACTGATGCTGCCCTGCAGTTTGAGCTGCAGACGGATCATGTCCACGTCACTGGAGGAGCACAGCTGTTTGATCTCGCCCACCTTCTTGCTCATCTCATCAATGGCCACCTCGATGGGACTTAGATCAGTGTGGTGTTGATACATCACTGCGATACGTTTCTTTACGTACGGGAAACAATGCGTGGCTGGGGGAAAGAAACAGGAAAAGAAATATGGTAAACAGCTGGCTTTAGTTTGGGAATCTTTTCTTCTTGCATGTGCCTTTCTGAGATTCACATCTCCGGTTTAACAGTGCATCTGCGAAAGCTGTCAGATAATAAAGATAAGAGTGTAAGGTTGAACTTTTGGACTTTTTGAATGATAAAACAATATTACTGTGATTAGGACAAGAAGTCCTTGACAAACTGCTGACATGTTCAGAATTTAATCAAGATCTTCCAAGAATGCACAGGACCTTTCTGCCGAGTTATGTAATGCCTCAACAACGGATTCCCACGTGACAGACATTCACATGGTGCTTATTTAAAACCTGTTTACTTAAAATTGATCAATAGGCAGACAATTGGAAAAGGTGGTCCACAGTTTGGGAGGAAAGGGAAACATTTACCTCAGATTTCAATGCAGGACACACTAAATTGTCTATTTTCCCTCTGGGTTCCATAATATAACACTTAAAGATCAGTTCCCTAGTGATGAGGAGATCTACTCAGCCTGTTTTAACACAATCTATTCTGTCTCACTGACTGTTCTGCACCAATATTGACGCTATTTATTATATTTTGTTTGCAAATCCGCCAAGAGATGCTGTTTAAAAGCTTATGTACCACTGCCACCCACAGCATATTTAAAGGTTACCTACTGGTTAGTATCGTCCTGCGTTTGCACTGCTCCTCCACCCCGCCTTGCTTTTTGCCTGATATGGTGAAAGGCATCTCAAACACAAAGCGGCGGATGTTGTGGCTCTTCTCGAAGTCTGTCTTCCTGTCTACTTCCTCCTTCTCCTCCAGGTAAGGGGTCACATGTGTCACTTGGATGTATGCATACTTAGAGTCCAGGTCTTTGGGGTTAATCTGCAGAGAATCGAGTCATCACAACAGCTCAGTCCTGCATTTTAATAATCTTATAAATCAATCCTCATCACAAATTTAAAATCTTACCCTGCCAGAGTCCTGGATCATCTTCACGTTCTCCTGTCCAAACTTGTCAGAGTACAGCTTAAGGAGCCGCTGAGATACCTCTGACAGAGGAGTGAATTTAGGTTCTTTGTAGATGTACTCCTTACCATCTTCATCTTCAAAGAAGCCCTAAAACAAATGGCCAACATGAGTAAAAATCAAACACTGTTTTTATTTAAAGAGATTTAAAGAAGCCACATCAAACCAAACAAGGAAGGTGGATGGAGAGTCATTCAAACAATTTGCTAAAATAAAATGGTAGACCCCTTTTTACCACCAAGTAGCTTTGGACTGAAATATCGTCAGAATCCACACAACCCTCTATCTAATGTCCAAGCATGGAAACAGGAAAAATAAAAAGTCCACTCCAAGAAACCAACCAGTATCAGTTTGATACAATGAGACAGAGTAAAGAACACAGGTGGGGGCACAGATTTCACACTATCAGTGGGAGCACTTGGATCAGTCTTGTATGTAAATAGTCAAATGGCCCATGAACAGATGGGTGAATCCATGTATTGACCCAGTGATAGGTGAATCCTGCTATTAGCCCTCTAAAGGGTCTCAGATGAGTACAACACTGCAGTAGGAGGAGTAAAAGGCTAAAATATAAGCAATACAGATAAGATATCACCGACACAACACAACCTAACACATCACTGCAGTCTAACAACAATGATGGCTTTCATATTGATTTACCTTAGGCTCTGTGTTTGTAAAGTGGTACTGCTACGGGTGTGTGGACAGCAGAAAATACATTCATTGTTATTCCATGACAACTCCTTACCAACTATGAAAAATTCAACACACTGCAACTCACACCAATTCACACCAATTCACAAATATGACCACCATGTCAAGATCTACAAAGAACACCATCAGAGGAAACCACATCAAACTAAATATTTATAAACCTCGACTAAAAGTCCTAAAATCTGTAACACAAAACTGGAAAAACTTGTATCAGGGCAAAGGTGAAAGAGCACCATACAGCTCAGTTTCTAAAACAGAAAGCATCAGTGGTGACTGATGTTTTCGTAAACAGAAAACTATGACTGAGAAATGCAATGATTACAGCAGCAGCAAAACCACACAAAGACTCAGGCTGCTCTGAAAGGCTAGCAAGGTCTACTGCACAACTTACCGCTGCCTTCAAAGAGGATAAAAAGCAGAAAGGGGTATTATAGCGTATCATAAAATGCCACTGCATGTGATTATGCTACTACAGAAAAAACAGGGTCATTGTGCATTACTTTGCAACACCAGCGACCTAATTAATCATTGTGCTATTTCTTGAAATACAACAGAGTGGGAGCAGAAATACAATAATCAGTACATCTGTTTGGACACATAACACCCTAGTAAACAGAATATACTCTGCTTTATACAACACTTTTGGTTGTTTAACTCACCTGGCCGAAGAAAGCCACTCTGAAGTAGGTGCCCAGCAATCTCTTTCCTGTGTGCATCACCTCTGTCACTTTGCTGTATGCACGATGCAGCGTGTCATACAGGTGGGCCAGTTTCTGTGCAAAGTCATTAGAATAGTTTGATCAGAATGTGTACAAACAACTGAGTAGGGATTGTTGTGGGAGGATAACAAGTTAAATGTACCTCAAAGTCCCTGCGCTTCTCATAAATGGGTATAATGAGCTTGTAGATGTCAGAGATGAGCTCGTAACGCTCAGCCTTCCACAGTCCATCTGCACACTCCTCCAAAAGCTCCATTAGGACATCCTGAGGGAACGTGAGAAGGAGAAACAGAAATATAACTCAAATAAAGTGGTGGGTCTGCTAAGCCTGTTCTATCTGGACTAAAGGGGACTGCAGGATGTGAGGAGAAACACATCTTCATTAAGATAAGTAAGGTGGGGCTCACATGTGTGTGTGATCAGGACAATGAGAAAAATGGTTTGTCATCATTTTTGTTAGGATCTCAAAATCACAAGACAATGTAATTTAAAAAAAATGGTCATTATAAGAGTACTAATTATGTATTTTAAAATAACAAAATGTCTTTGATTCTCAGGAAATGTATCTATTTTGTCAGCTAAATCTATGATAAAATATAGAGAGACCGTTATTATTACAATGATGGTTTATTATTTTTAAATCTGGATTATTATAGATCTGAAGATGAGATGTCAAATGAGTTTGTATTGCATTCACTTCGCAAATACTCTTTTCCTAATATGGTTACAAAAAGTACACTCAACCTCAGTATCTATAAGAGCAATAACAATGTAATCAAATAAAGTTATGATGTTGATCCCACAGACTGTCTATGAATTCATGATATTCTACATACTTCATTGAAATGGACGTCCTGCATGCCGACGTCCTCCATCATTGCTGCTTCTTCATCAATGTTTGGAGTCACCACTCTAAAAGCTGAGCAGCCCTGTTTGAACATGCCTGCAAACAGAATAAGATGAGGCAACATTTGAACAATTAGCCAATTTAGGAAAGTAAGAATCACACAAGACACACAAAAAGAGCTGCTGTATGGCATGCAAGTGAAAATTATGAAAGTACCTTTTCTCCGAAGGTATTCTGCCACAAGTGCTGCAACGTGCACATAGCACATGGCCGCCTGTCAACAAACAAAGAAAAACGTAGGTCAGAATATACATAGTGATTGTGATAGAATTCATTATATTGTAGGTCTAATCACTCATATACTGTAACAATAGCCAAAATAACTTCGACAAATACAACGTAAATTCAGTCAGTACTTGATCACGCGACACAAACCTAACTAAAGTCTATTACATTGACCACAGACCTCTGACATGTCTCCGTTCTTCACGTGGATTCGGGCCATGCTGTCCAGCCAGGTCTTGCGTAGTTCAGGCGTGCTGGCGTAAGACTTGGCGAGGCTGTACTGCAGGTCCACCAGCATCTCTGGATCCCTCTCGTGCTCCTTCATCTGAGCCGTGGCCATCAGAACCGTTCTGATGCGTTTGGTCAGATCCTTCACATCTGATGGGAAAGCTGTGTTCTGTTTAAGAGGATGCAGAAACGGGAACAGTCAGTCATGGCGTTGCTAGTTTAAGCATACATATATTCAACTGTTTAAGTGGAAGCAGAAAATATTCATGCACATCAATTAGTTCCTGACCTTTATAGTTTTGTCACTGTTCGCACAGTTGTTGATTATCGACAGAGACTGCTGGAAGCGAGTACTGCCGATACCAATCACATCAGCTATCAACTGACTGACAGCAATCACCACCTAAAGAAAGAGAAAGACACACATTATAATCATTATTAAATTATACTTAACCCATGTGTTTTGTTGACGTTGTCCTAACGTTTTATTGTTTAATGCACCCCACAGACCTTAAGACTGAATGCGTAAATAAAATAAAGATAGAAATTGCACTTTGGCTTATGACCTTAAGAAAAAAACCAAAATGTACTAATGTATTGAAGTGGTAACAGTTCTTTTTGACAAAAATTGAGCTTCGAAATTTGTTTGAAGGTTTAAAACTAATTTAAAAAAAGGATTTTAACGCATTTTTGTGATTTGTGATTTTGCTGTGACTTTTCTAACATCACTTCAAGGCCCTATTAATAAACAATTTAAATTTTACAATAAAAGGAAAAGCATGACGTATAAGATTGAAAAAACATTACGGTTTGTTATTTGGGATGTTAAACTGGGGCCAGGGTCTTCCACAACACCAGATCATTTTGGTGAAATAATGTGAATATGAAAGATTTATTCTTTTTATCCTCTAAACAAAAGTCCATATATCCCCACCTGTAAGTGCGTCCGGACAAAAGACTTGCGCCCTGTGTAGTCAAAGTTGCTCTTCATGAGGAAGTAGAGCAGATGGGCTGCGTCGCTGCGAATGGAGCTCAGCTTGGAGTTACAACACTTCAAGATCTCACAGCAGAAAGCAGCACACATGTCAGCGCGCCCCTCAAAAAAAGTGCAGGGAAACTAGAGGGCGAAGAAGACAGACAGATCATCAGTAACAAGCCGCTTAGACCATAAAGCAACAACAGAGTATTGCTAGGGAAATCAACGCCTTCTCACCTTGTAGATGAAGGTGCGCAGTGAAGTGAAGACCTGCTTGAGGGCCGTCTCTGACTGATTGATCCGGAGGAAACAGAGGTGGACTTCAAACACCTTCTTCATCAGTGGACTGTGGCCGTGGTCTGAGCACAGCTGGGTCTGTGGAGGAAGAGAGTATTATTACAGAAACTAATTTAAAACACAGAAACCGAACATCACATTTAAATGTAATATAAAACATACATTAGTAAAACCTAAACACTGTATTTCAATTTATGAGTTAAGTAAATGTTTGACAAGTAAAATGTCAGGTATGTTACTTTGAATCCCATGATGAAGATGCTTAGCGTGTCCAGGACAGTCAGACACACTTCAGTAGCGATGTTAGCTTCCAGCAGAGACTGATTCAACACGTCTGCATCCGAGTGACTGTAGGCTGAAGGAAATAAAAAAGAAAGCTGTAGTTGGTTCACCCTCACCATTTTCAAATATCATAAATGATATGATAATATAAGAGACCTGTATATATGAGTGTTAAAGGCAAAGCTATAAAATGTCATTATATGATGAAAAGCTTAAGTTTCATTCCAAACTTAAAAAATCGTTCTCTACAAAATCAATACCTTCTGTACAATGAATTGTAATTAGTTGGTGAGGCACATACGATGTGTACAAATTGTAGCAATAATTTAGTGTCAACATATTATCTTTTAACGAAATATATATATATATATATATATATATATATATATATATATATATATATATATATATATATATCATATTTTTTTATGAAATACTAATTTTGGAATGAAACCCTTTATGTTTTACATGGTCTAGTTTTTTTTGGTCAGAAAATGAAGTGTAAAATGAGGTTCAGAGCAGATGTGCTGACCAGAGGAATGGAAAGATTTTGAAGGCTAATGTCCAGTTATATTAATAAAGTAGGCATGCTCTTAATTTAAACCAAATGAACAAAGCCAGTCTGCAAACTGCCTGCCAACCTGACACATTCTTACCATGGTCTACAGATATTCCAAGAATACTTGAAATCTTTCTTACACTGAAAACACAAAGAAACTGTGTTAAATCATGCCATTTAACAGACTGAGAGATTAAGCCCTGTGGATAATACCAATATAATGCCACACACGACTACCTTAACCCTCATTAAATCTAATGTATGTCTTCTGAGGCCTTTTCAGCGAGCTGGGTTCAAACAGAGGATGAGAATGATTTTGATGATATTAAAAAGCATGAGGAGATTACACTCCTGAGGCGGAGTGAGGCGGAGGGCGGTGGTCCGCTGGTGGAGGTTTGATGACAAGTATTGAGAACTTACTGTGGTTAAAAGTGTTTGCGTTATCCAGGCTGCTGAGCTGCTGTAAGCGGGCATGCATCATTCCCGCCCTGTTACGGGACACAGGCAGAGTCTGAGACTTCCGCTCATGTGCTACGGGTCCTGCCCCATCCTGGTTCCTGATGAGGAAACAGGACAATGTTAGACGGATGGCCGGTTAGTGAAGCAGGTTAGGGTGAATAATACGCTATTCTTGACACTTGAGTAGGGTAAATACTACTCAAACGTTTTTATTTTTCTAAGTCTAATACCTAATACTCCACTTAGTTTGGTTACTCAGTTTACTTGCTGAGTTGCTGAGTCATGATTTAGTTATTTGATACCATATGCACACATCCATTGACTACAAGACTACACAAAATGCATTAAAAAAAAGGCCTGTCCTGATGTATTTATGAGCTTCTGACCCTGGGAAAGTGTGACAAATAGTACATTTCCCCAAAGCTACTGTATCTCTAAACTATCTATTTAACCAAATGTAATATGTTTCCACTTAAATTCAGTGAGCGTCCCCCTTACACAGTTTTGACTCCTCGTGGGGAGGCCAGACTCACACTTTGAAAACCTCTGGTCTAGTTAAATATTTAACTTAGGAGTTTTAAATGTATCATAATTAGAAAGATGTTATTCGATCATGCAGTGAAGTTGTCTGGTTTATATTGTATTCCATGCAGTTCAATCATCAAGCAGAAGCAGCATGCGAGCAGTGGGTTACAGAAAACGTCATGCACATTAGGTGAACAGAGACAAATGCTTTAGATGATTTTAAAGCCAGTCGCTGTGTCACAGCACTGCAACTTGTGTCGGGTGAAAATACATCATGCATTAAGGTTGAGAGTCAGTTCCACCTTTAGTCTTACCCAAGCAGGAGAGGGCAGGAGCCAGGTTTTATTTCATTGTGTTAAACTTGCCAGCATTTAAACGAATAGAGATAGAAAGAGTGGTGGGAGGTTAGAGAGAGTGAACACCCAAAGCCCTCTGGGAGTTGAGGCCAGAGCTCCCCCATGGTGGAGTCAGTACAGTGTGTGTGTGTTGGATTTTAAACACTCAACATACAGTCACACCCTTTGTCACACATTATGAATCGTTTTACACTGGGTGATTTAAAATGAAGAAAAGAAGTAGCTACATCATGTCAGACATAGACATTTAAATGGACACCAGCATTTCATTTATTTGTATCATTATGTTAAAGGTGGAGTAGGTCATTTTGGAGAAACCAGCTCGAGTGCGCTAGAATTTGAAAATACACAACCGGAAAAAATCTGCCACTTCCTTACAGAGCCCCTCCTCCAACACACACGAACGCGCATATGACCAATGAGGGCACGAGATAAGTTTGTGCACAGATGGAAGGCTGACAGGCAGGTAGGCCATCCAGTTATTTTAGCCGGGCCGGCTAAAATGATTGGTCGTGCTTTTTACAGTACTACGGCTTCCACAGATGACATTTTTTTATGGATTTTTTGTCAAAGCACTTAAGATATTCATTGCTATCGGGATGTTAAGAGCATTCCATGGAATATAACAAAAAGTGTATCTCGAGCCGGTTTCTCAAACTTACCTACCCCACCTTTAAGGTATTCTATCTATATATCTTAAAAAAGACATCATAATATGTATCTATTAGAACTGCAGTTTCCATCCAAGGCGCTTTGACTATTGCTGGAGTTGTCTTGAAACAATTGTGGAGAATCTCGTTTTAATAATATGAAGTACATTTTCATTGTAAATCAATCAATAATTTGATTTAAAAAGACTTTCAAGAATGACATTAATGAACCAGATTCAGATACTAACAACAACATTACCTTGCAATGTATCTCTTCCCCATGTATTTGAACTGATGGAGGCACACTCTGAGAGAAAAGGAAAGTGAAAAATCAGTCACAACATTTTCATAAGCTTTACTCACAATGTCATGAAAGCAATAGTAGACGTCTTACTCGACTAGAGTGAAGAAGTCCATTAACTCAGCAGGTGAAGCCTTGTTCCAGTATGTGAACAGAGCATCTGGAAAAAGACAGATTGACATTGAAGAGACAATTTGTTTTGTTAATGTAGACATGCGAGTAAGCTGAGTGTTCAAACATCAAGACAGAAAGATGGTGAGTGCATTTATTTAGGAGAGAGATGTTACCTTCAGACATGCTTTTGAGCACATGTAAGAAGCACATGAGGAGGCTCTTGATCTCTGCCTGGTCCAGTTTATCACATCGCAGCAGGGAACTGCCCAGGTTTGAAGCAGCCTGGTTCTGAGGGACAAAGAATAGGGTCAGATACTGTAGAAGACACATATATTATTGTTCTAGGGCTCTTTGCTCTGTCTTTCTCCTTTTGCTGTTTTAAGATAAACCAAAAGTTCTGTCTACAGAAACTAAATGGGAGTTTTTATTGTGTGATTTAAAAAAAGGGAATTTTTCATGGCAATTACAAATATATTAAGATTGTATATCCAGTTTTGTGGTAATTGTCCAACATCAAGAGACAACTGAGGCTTGAACCTGTATTGCATTTAAATACAAAATACATTGAGGGATATTTAGTAAGCTAAGCGTTTTTTCTGATGGCCTGGGATTTCTGTGCTCAAACTACACTAGTTGTCATTCACTCAGATGTTGCAGGGCTCTATGCATCGTGGAAAAAAAACTGCTGGTGGAAAACACACAGCATTTCTCCCAGCTGAAGCAGAGAGGAGGGAGAAAACAAAAACCAAAGCAGTGAAGCAGCCGCTCTACCACAGCGAGGGGTTGGCCACGCATCAAGCACGTTCCTTTGCCAGCAGTTAGTCTAGACCATGAAACTAGCTGGGGATGACTTAATGGAAAGGCTTCTTATTTTGGAGAGTGATTACTTCAGGGCTAAAGATAGTTTTCTCGGAAAGGTGGATAAAAACTATAAAGCTGTGGTGGAGTCAGTTTCATTTAAATGTGAGCAATAATAACACATGACTCGAGTGTCCTCCTTTTCCCCTTTAGCCTTTACACACACAACATCTACCGCATGTAAAAACAGAAGATGTTTAATAGAAGATAAACAACACAAACACAGAGACAGTTAAAATCGTTTGTGTTCAAAGGACTTCTTCTCAGATTTAGTTGAGGATGTTCTTTAGTGAAAGCAGAAAAATGACACAGCACACGTGAGAGGAACTCAAAAGGGACAAATCCCTTAACTCTGCATGCTTATCAACATCTGGGGGAAAAAAGCAAAAACAAACCCTGTGAGGCCCTGAACAGAATCTCTGCTTTATGGCACCAGAGAACAAACAGGCCAACGCCTGAGAATCATCTGGCAAAGAAAGGGCTTAGGGTTTAGGAAACTCACACACACTCTAACATTCCCAGATGGGACACTCCTAAGAGGGATGAGGACTTTTGTACTTGAAGTGAAATGATGGGCTGCAGGGTGCTCTCTGGCACACAGGGGACAGAAAGCAGGGAGAAGTCCATGGTGACACGCTTGGTGCGCAGGGAGAGCATGGACTCATCAGTTTCCATAAAGAAGCGCAGGACATTGACAGAGTGTCTCCGTAAAAACTTCTCCGTCTGCCACGACCAGATTAGGTGGGGGAGTTAATGGTACAAGTTAACAAAAATAGGTGACTTTCTGGGGTACTTTTGTCACAACAAGGGGACCTCTGTTATGTCTAAGGCACACTGAAAACAATGTCACAGGAGCCTAAAATTGATTTCTATTACATTTGATATGAAATGACTCTCACAGCCTCTTGCAGCACTTTCTGGGAGTTACCTTGTCCAAGGAGTTGCTCTTGTCATTGTGCTTCTCATGTAGGCTGTTTCCAGAGTCAGTGCTGATGAGTGAGCCGCGAGAGTCTGCGTGGCGAACAGAGTTAATGTTGGGCGTCGACGATGTGTGAGGTGAAGCTATCAAAAACAAAAAAGAGCAGTTTTATATTTTCATAAAACCAAAATGTTATATATTTATTAATTTTCAGGATCATCTGTCCACTCACATGTGCCAGAGATGACTCCAAAAACATCTTTGTGCAAGCTGGTGTCCAGAAAGGTGCTAGATCTGGGAGGTGTCATCAAGATGTTGGTAAGAAGAGAATCATCCTTTCCATTCTGAGGAGAAACAACAGTTTAATGATTAAAGAAAAACACATATTATATGGGGATGTATTAAGAAATGGAAAACTAGTACATACATATAAGTTGTTGGTCTTATGAGGGCTCCGTAGGTCCTAAAATGTCTTTGGTTGGTCATTTCAGTTAGCAGATTAATGTTTTAAAGATTCAGTATGGCCTAGTAACAGTAAAGAAACCCTTTTTTTTGTTATAATGAAATCCAAACTGTTAAAAAAATATTACATAACATAAGACATGATGCAGATGTTAAAAAGTGTTTATTGAAAATAACTGAATATACTTTATTGTGCTAAAAGCATATATATCATTGCTGTATTTTTGACAGATATGTGTTGTGTGTTGCTGAGCATGCTAAATGCAATATCAAAAAGAAGCCACTAGGAGGCGCCCTTACATTGTTGGAGTGGTTGACGGTGAATGGAGACACTTCCTTCACATTCAGCCTGTTGACGTTCTCCTGGAGCAGACCAAACAAGGGAAAGTACAGGGTGGCCAACCTGGCCTGCTGGCTCTGCAAAACAAATAAATCATCTCAACAAAATATCTCAGGGTCACACACGTCAAACACTGAAGAGAAGTAGATGTCAAGAGATGGAGGTACGAAGCCTCGGCTTACCTTGGAGCAGTAGCGCTCATCAAATGTGTGTTTCATCATCAGGTTCTTCAGCACATGGATGGCTATCTGACGGATCTCCCTGAACTCCTGCAGAGCTGTACTGACCTCCCTGAGTAGCAGCCCGACCAGGAAGTGGTTCTTACAGAAGTCATCTGTCAGCGAGTAATCCATCTGGAGGTCTGAGGGAGAGAGACGAGGACAAAGAGATTAGGTTTGGATCACAGAGAGGTTAGTGAAGGATGTGAAAGGTTCAATGAGTACATTTCTAAATGAACATCAATCAGACCAAATTAAATTGACAAGAAGACAGGAAAGCTTGGACGAGCTACAGATTATTGATGCTATTAAAACCTGGCGAAAAATCTATTATGACAATTGATTATTGGATGCTTTCAGCTATTGATCTATATGATGTTTTGTGTTGACAGATTCAGGCTGTGTAACAGAGCTGCTGCTCCACATCAACAGTGATTGTTTTGAAAAAGACAAATAGAATAAAAGCTTTTGATTTCCAACAATATCAAACACAAGTAAAGCATCCCAAATCAGAAAAAGATCTCCCAGAATGGCGGTGAAATCAAGTTAAACGCACTGTTTTGTCTAATCATTAAAAAAAGGTATTTTGGAATAATTGTAATCATTAGTTATTAACTCCAAACCAATTTAAGATTGAACATACTAACTGCACACTTAATCACCCATATCTGCACACTCAGCTTATACACACACATACAAATTATGAATCAGTATCTTTCTGTAAAGTGTTAGAAAATAGATAAATACTGCCACCTCAACAAGGATGAAGCAACATTTGGAAATAAGTGACTAAGTTCAGATTTTGGAGCAAATCATGTGACCTTCTCTGGTCATGATTGAATGATTAGATTGGAGTCTGCTCTTTTTGGAGCAGACATGAAAGCAGCACATCCTCACACCTACCTAGAGTATCACATGACTCCACCGTATCATTTGGAGATAATAAAGCTAATTGAGGAACACAAAAAGGACAAAGCATGTTCTGTAGAATTAAAGACTGCAGAAATCCTGTTCCACTGCTTTTTAAATGCACTTTTATTTTATATCCATTAGATAAAAATAAGTACAGCTTTTACATTTTTGCTGGCTTTTTTACAGTTTTGTAGCGTAAACCACTTTTGGTTTGATTTCAATATTTTTCTACTCAAACACATGCAATGTTAGCGAACTGGCATTTAAGCACACTACCATCAGGCATGGTACTTCAACATCATGTACATTTGATGATCTCCTCACCTTGAAATCTCATTATCCTTCCCTTTCCAAAAGGCATGGGCAGGTTTAAGGGGACGTAGTGCTCGTGGTTGCACACCACTCGCAGAAACTCAAACCTGAACTCAAACAGCGTCTGCATTCAGAAAAGACAGAAACCAGGGAGGCCGCTTTAATACATCACTCAAACACAAACTTGTCCAAAACTTGCCTGAAGGACACCCTGAAATCCTTCATTAGGGCGCTCGCAAGAAATATTACAAAACTGGTCTCCAAATGTGTTAGTATAAAATCTGTAACTGTTTGTACTGTGTACCTTTGGGTCTCCAGGCATAAAACAGTTGAAATAGTGGTTGATCTGCTTGAACACAAAGCCTCTGTCCATCAGGTTGAAACAGCGCTACAGAAGGATGGGGAAGAATAAATAAATAAATATACACTCGTACATTGTAAAACACACGGTTAAAACCATGCCAGATACAGTTACTGTAGCCCCTGACCTTGATGAAGACCGCCAGACTGTGGTTAGCGTTCCTGGCAGCATCGAGGTTGTCTTTGTATTTCTGAGTGATGTGTGGCATCATCATGTTGACCAGAGTCTCCACAGTGTGATGGAAGGCTGCTGAGAAGCGCTGATTCCTGGACAGCTGCAGAACACATCACACAAGTTCGTACAAAAGGTATTATATACCATAAAACACCCCAGTTTAAAAGAGTAGTATGGTAATACTTCCAATGAAAAGACCAACATCAACAATTCATAATTAACATATATTGCTTGTGTAGACCATGGGTGGCCAAATGTTTATAATTGTAGGCTGTATACAAACAAATTATATAAGGAGTCAAGGAGAAAACAGTAGTCAATTAATAGTTTTTAACCTGTTAAACTGCAAATAAGGGTTTCTAGACCAAATAAACAAATGGCATTTCTAAGTTTGCCTATAAGTAACCCAAAAAGTTCAAAGTACTTTGTATATCTAATGCATGGCCCAAGTCCCCACTTATATTATGATGTGTAAATCTCTAAAATGAGTAAAGTTGAAACAGACAGAATTAGCCAAATATTGGTTTCTGTTCATGGCCTAAAGTGCCCACTTAAAATATTATCTCTCTGTGCCATATACCTCTTTTTTGTCAAAATCAATCAATGACACTTTGGTCTTTAGCAGGATTTGTCTGTAGTACAGAATATCCCCAGCCTTGTACTTTAACCCTAAGCTCACAGTCTCCACTGAGGCCTCCACTTAAGAGGCCAGAGGCAGTTAGACACGGGGATGTGGTTGCTTATGGGGTACGAACAAATGCAGCCAATAAAACTGCACAGTAGTGTGGGACAGTCTGTGGATACATAATACTTTGACTGTGGTACTGCGGCTGTCCACAAGACGTGGCATGTTGTAAACCACAGTAAAGAACCTAAGCCTTTATAAAACAGACACCCCGAGTCAAACACACACATGTTGTGGCAGACTTACCTTCACTTTACAGCTCTCTATCAAGTACTGAGCCATGGACTTCACTAAGGCTTCAAAGAAATACCAGGAGTACTGTGAGGCAGACAAACATAAATCAGAAAACAATAAAGAGGACATTCATGGCATTTATAATCACACACCATATACTCTTTAAAAAGTAGAAATATGTTACCTTGAGGAGTTTGTTGCTCGTGAGGAAGTCAGTGGAAGGCTTCAAGATAGCAGTCATGGCTTTAGCCAACTCCTCGTGCACTAACCGGTTGGAGGAGGATGTTTCTGGCTCAGACTTAAATACAAACTGTAGGAGACACAAGCAGAGAGAACTTTGAGTACAAGCACTAACATATAGACATTGAAATGTGACATATGGTTTGTGATTTTTACCTTTACATATGACCTCAGGTAGTGCTCCAACCCCTCCTCGTGGCACTGGGCTACAATGTGAATCATGACTCTAAAACAAAACAATTGCAAAACAAAATGTGTGTTAGGATATGGTCCTGAAAGAAGCTGACACAGCAGGAGGCATCACTTATTCATAGTTTATGGAAATAAATGTTGATATTTACAACAAAGTTGATTTATTTATGTCCCATGAATATCAGCCATCTTCAGAGTTTTCTTTTGACATTTTAATCATATTCATTTAAGTGTGATATATCAACTTGTGTTATTAACATAAAACAACTTGATTTGTATGATGTTGTTAAGAACAGGATTATCCCAGGTAAACTTGCCTGGTTACATTGACTGCTACATCCTCCTGGGTGGCACTGGTTAGCACCCTGAACAGCTGATTCAGGGTGGTGGGCAGGAACTTAATCATCACATGGCTCTCCATGGCATGCAGGCTCTGAGGATAAAACATCGCAATGTATAATGAGGTGAATACGTGGGGAAAGCAATGAAATCATTTTCTAGCACCACTTAAAAACAGAGCAGAGAAGGCTAAAAAGAATATGTAAAAAAAACGAATCTAATAACAACAAGAGGAGGAAGAGGACATAGATGAAAAACAATCTGCTAATTACCCACAGCGTATGCTTCAGTTGCCGTTAACATGGCAGTGAAGATACTGGAGCATCATACTCGTGTACAGGAAACTAACATAGGCGCTGCCAAGTCATTTGGAGAGCTGCCAATCAACATGGCTGACCTGCTGTTTGACCCTCTGGCTATTGTTCATGTTCTCTGCTGTGTTTACATTTGCATTGGACCAAGTGTTGCTCTGCATGTCTATCTCTGCCAGGGGAACAATGAACTGATATTCCCAAGGACTGGAATAAGAGTATGAGATGGAAACAAATCCTGAGCTACCATGGCAAAAGGATGTTTGCACGTGAAAAGCAATTACATCTCCAGTAGAAAGATCTCTTCCCAAAACTGTCCAGAAGAATGCGCTGTTGGCAAGCCGCGGCACAAAGCAGAACATTAATCTCTCTGCTGTTCAGCTCTAACCAAGTGTGACTGTCTGCGGTTTTACGGGAGTATGAGCTATGGTTAGCAACAAAATAAAATTGAGAAGACAGTTCTGACCTTTCCCTTACAGATATATCAAATACCATTCTGTTCAGAGTTAATTCCCAATCATACATTTATGCATCCTTGTGCACTCAGTTACACAGCATATGCCAAAACAGAAAAGTAGACTTTATGTCAACATTAATGATTGTGGTTTAAAACATAGCCCACACAGTGTAGCACAAAAAAAGGCTATTTCAAGCATGTACACAGAATGCTTACCAATTCATTTACCTAAAATAAAGCAATAATGCCTTTAATAAAGACACAAGGTCTACACATTTTGTTTGATAAAAACAAATAACATGTTTTACGTTATCTCAATTGGCATGTATTTAAGTTACTACCAAATGAATGGCTTAATTCTTATTGGTTTACCTTCAGGTATTTGACCAATTCTCCTCCTGGCACCTGGGGTGCAGCTTCAGTGCTCTGACAGTGATCAAAGAAATTGTGCAAATGTTGATCCTATGAGAAAAAAAAGAAGGTCAGACTGTATACGTTTATTCCATTAAACTGTGTTTAATTGAATCCACATCCAAAGTAAGAAGGTATGCAGATCAGACAGGTACTACACTCATAGTTTGTTAAAAACCGAACTAACCTGAGTGTAGACAGTGGACACAAGGTGAGTGGCAACCTTAAATAAAGGCTTGCCTCCATCCACCCATTTGACCTCAGGTCCTGAATGCTGTAACACAAAGACAAATCTTTCTTTCAATAACTCAGAATATATCCTGCAGTGAGTTCATGTCAAAATAAAACATCGATTTTTCCTATTGGAGGTTTTGGTTTTTGGCTTGGCATCTCCAAAACATATTATTAAATCAGTTTTGCACTAAATAATGAAAATAAGAGTTCAGCACATGAACTTTTGAGGCCAAGCCATCACTGCTTCACTTCTCTACCTTGCTGGCCCCCTCCTGACAGCCGAGGTATCCAGCAGGCAGGTTGGCAGCCACAGGGATCTGACTCTCATTCATGGTCACCCGGCCATCTTTCAGCAGGGGGAGCCAGGCGTAGCCCACTGAGAGAGGAGACCAAGGCAAAGTCAAAGTCTGACGCTTCAAGGCAGTCGACATTTACAAAACACAGATATCTTTTAGGTATTTTTGTGATCTGGCAACGCTATGAAAAATTATTCGAGATTTGGTTGCAGTGTGTTACCTTGAGTCTCAACCAGGTCTCTCTTTTTGGTGCTGCCCTTGTTGTTGCTTTCACAGCTGACGTGGTAGAAGGTGAAGAGCAGATGGTGTTTTTCGTGGAGCTGGGTTGGCAGCTCAATCTTAAACTAAGGAATAAGAGATAAACATTCAGTATTTGATTATATGGACTTAACTTTTTGTTTTTATACATTTACTGCAGTGTGTCTTACCTCATCGTAGAACTCAGGGTTATGCTGGTGATGCAATACTGCAGCGAAGGCATTTTTGGTAAACAAGGGTCCTCCAGGTCGGCCATAGATGCACTGTGGAATAATAATAATAAAAGTTAGTTGGCTCGTGTGACTGGAGAGTTTTGCTTTTTTGGGGATTTGGAAAAACGTCCAGGAATGATTTGAGTTTACCTTTAGTGAAACAGACTCCTCCTCATCTGAGTCCTTGAACTCAATGCAGACAGCTACGTTTCTAGCCTAAAGAAAGTGAAGAGGTGCTGTTACTTTAGACAACAAGAAAAAGGGAGAGTTGTTCCAGTAATAATACTTAATTTGACTGTTTAACAGAAAACTGTAAGGCAACATATGGAGGACAAAATCCTCAAATATCCTCCTCCTGTGTCAATTAACCTACAAATGAAAGATTTGTGTTACCTTTGCAAATGACTTTTGGCCGTCATACTTCAAGTGCCTCGGGTACACATAGAGGTGATTGTTGTAGATGGTGAAAGGCTGAGAACATTTGGCTAAGCACGGCACAAACTCCTCCACTTCGAAGAAGATGTTGGTCTTCTGGCTGACATCAAACTGCTTCACAGGAATGTAGGATGAGGTAACACAATCTATATACAGAAGCAGGGGGGAGAGGAGACCAAATAATCAGCCTGCAGACATCGTGACAGATCTGCTGTGAGCAGGAACAGCTTTCATCTCTCATGTTGGCTGCAAGGAACACATTCAGAGGCCTTACTTGTCAGGTCGGGGGCTACATTGTCAATAGTAACATCAAGGTTTCCGAGGATTACAGGCAGCTTGGCCATTTTCTCTGGCCTGAGGAAGAGAAAATAAACTCCAGTTAAGCCTTTGCTATCATCTTCAAATAGTATATATATACACACACACCACATTCACAGATGTGGGCAAACACCTAACTTTTTAAAACCCAATAACATTTGTGTTCCATATTTGCCTTTCCAGAACATCTGTAAGACTACTTATACGGTTTCCTTTGAGGAATACTAACTTTCTGAAATCAGCCAGCAGTTTGAGCACATCGTCATTGGATAGCTTGTTGCTGTCCTGTCGGTACAGAGGGGAGAAACGAGCACTTTTGTCCAATGTCCCTGAAGCATCTTTGAACAAAGTCCTGCAAGAAGGAAGAACAAGAGTCAGGAAGGTTTTTATTGTCCTGAACACCCTCATGTAAACTGTTTGAATAAGAAAAAGTACTAGGTATCATAGTACCATCTTTTATTAATCTATATATTTGCTCGATTAACCAATTCATTGTTTAGTTCGTCAAAAACCAAACTACTAAAAAACATCCATCCCATTTTCCTAGAGCACCAATGAGACATTTAAAACAAATTAAATGTATACTGATATAAAACAGAGAAAGCAGCCAATCTTCACATTTCAGAAGCTAAAAATAGTGTTATTTCTGCTGTAAAAAACAAATCAATTAATTATCCATATGGTTAATGTGTTATTGAAAATAACCCCCAATGATTAGAATTATTAAATAATGTTTAATTATAACAAAATATAATTTTTTTTTTTTGAGTGAGAATATAGTGTTAATGTTTAATTTTTCACTATGTAGTATCAATTGTATTTAATTATAATACTATGATATTTGATTTATGTTTTAAGCATTCAAATCACTACTGTGACTGTGTGTGTTTGTATGGGCTGTGGTTCTGTTGTAAAGTACACAGAACATGTTGCTGAAAACTGATGGAAAAAACGTAATGATTAATAATAAAAAGAGAATAAATACCTTGCTGCCCAGGCAAAAGGCATCCTGTACTGGCCCAGCCGGCAACATGCCAGCTTTGCATTTTTCAGGACCTTCTGTGCCACCTAGTGGAAAACATGAACACAGTGTGAGCTGAGCTTCATCACTTCGACACACTCTCAGCCCTGCAGCACTGTAACATATTCAGCACGCTGCCACACAGACGCAAAGCACATTTTTCTGAACTGAATCTCATTACTCCACACCACGGTCCCCTCAGGGGGCACAACCACATTTGTTCAGCCAAAGTCAATGCTTGTGTTAGACGTCTTTGTGCAACTGGTCAGCACTTAAAAACAAGGATGATTATCTGTGTATAATGTGGAATAATATGGTGGAATCTGCTGACTCTGGGAGACTTGCTGCCCCGTGTTGAGGACAGTGAAGGGAGTTCGGGGTCGGGTCAGTACCTTGGTGGAGTCTGAACTCTTGGTGTACGGCTCGGCACAGTGGTTTATTCCTCCCTGCAGCACCTTCTCTATGCGAGCCACCAGGAAGATATCTGGGTGGGGGCACGTTACTGAGAATACACCCTGTGGAGACCATGAAAATGTTAGAATTTCCATAATGTGCAAATTTCACATTTGAATATAAAACAGGAGACACATTTATGTTGGGAAGAGCAATTATGATGTTTCTTTTATTCTAGAGATGGCAATTTCTGTTTCTTAGGACATAACTAACAATTATTGGCTGAATGACTGTCATAAAATATACATTTATGTACATCAGTAGATGAATCTTAATGACTTCACATTTGTAGTTTCTAAGAAATTCCCCTACAACATAATTTGTAATGTGAACCCCCTCCTTTCCTGTAGTACAATCATTAGGGTTACATGTTATGTTTTCCTAGTGGTTTTAAATACCTGCACAACAAAAAATAATTGTATGTGGTTAGTGTTCATTTGCAAAAAAAGGTGGTAAACATTGCAAACATTATACCAGTTAAACATCAGGGTGTTAGTATGTCATTGTTAGCATGCTGATACAAGCATTTTGTCCAAAGTGTCACTGTGTACAGTAAAGTGTCACAGAGCCACAAGCATGGATGTTTTTTCCCTAACTTTGTGTAATTAAAGTTTTTCTCTGTATTTTCTGTACCTGTCTCGGATACTGCATCGCTGCCTCTGGCACCCCATGGACTAACCGTTGCCCTTCAGGGTGGGTGTCCCCTCCCCCGTTCATATACTGACTGGTGTTACTGGGCAGCATGCCTCGTACAGACGGATGGTTTAAGTCCACGTGGAAGTCCGAGGAGATCTTCCTGCCGTTCTGGATGTCAAACAGTGACAGGGTGACATAAAATGGCTCCACCTGGAAATGAAAGAGAGTAGCAATTGAGTATTGTACGGATGATGCTGATTTTTTTTAACTTGTGCATTTTGTTAACCAGGCTGCTTACACACTATAACTTAAAGAACATAGGAACTGCATTCAAATTAAAACTTAATAGGTGCTCCAACAGCTGTAAAACAGGACTCTAGGTAGCATATGTTATACACTTTCACAATCACTTACTGTGTTACATGCAACGTTTCACTCAGCAAACTAAATAATGAATGACCCTTCACGCAAAGTGTTATTTTCAGCGTTGTTTAGTTTCACTTCTACAAAAAAATGTAAAACTCTAAATATATTACTACTTTACTAAAATGAAATAAAGGAAAATACATTTAAAAATGAAATAAAATACAACTCCATACAAATAAATGTCATCTTACAGTCATTGAACAGTGTGTGTGTGTGTGTGTGTGTGTGTGTGTGTGTGTGTTTTGACATGTTGATAGACTGTTTCTGTAAGGAGGGACAGCAGGACATCAGGCTCCATTATACAGATTGCCAACCATTACTGAGCCTCTAGCCTGGTTGCTATGCCAACAACAGTCCTTCCGCGGCTCAAATAATGACAGGAGTTCATCTGGTTGCTCTAACAACGCGTCTCCTGCATCTTTTGTCAGCCGCATAATGCTATTTCTGTTATTTAGGGCCTATTGTGGCCAGAGAGAGATCAGCCTTACGTTGGTGGTGGGTCCCTCCTCGTTCTCGGCAACACAGCTTTGCAGGTTGAATGAGAGGTCATTGCAGTTCACCAGCACACGCTTTCCAAACTTCTCCTCAAACTGCTTCACATCCGGCTCTATTCCTGAGAAATCTAGTTTCTGAAGACAGCACAATGGAAGGTATTTCATTTCATTAGAAAGTGTCAGGTTGGATCTCATTTCCACACGGGACTAAGTGAACTAAAATGTGCTTTAGGTTTATTTACCTGTGTGTCGGGGTCCAGGGTGAACAGCTTCAATCTGGTCTCGTTCCTCATCCTGGACTCGATATCTCTTGCACTCTGAGGAGGAGAAAGGCATTTTTTTAAATGGATCCAAACCACAAACTGTCTGAAACGTCAAAAGCAACGTCTGAGAGATTTCCAGTCAGTTGGTTTTATCATTATGGCTTCATATTTTACAGGCTGATCACACTGGGCAGACTCAGTGGTGAGGGTCAGGTGGTCCCGGCACACACTTCAGAGCAGCACACTGTAACCTGTCAAGCTGTTCCCAGTAAACTCTTACCACCAGTTTCCATGCACATATGGCTTTACTATTGCGTGCCACTCAGCACTGTAACAGCATGAGAAGCTGAAATAAAACTTTTGCAGTCTGTAAGTCATCAGTCAGTTAATCATTTAGAAAAACAGATGTTTTTATCCTTGAAATGTTTTATAATGCTTGATGCAGGTCTCATGAAGTAAAAGCATGTGTTGGTTTTGTCCACTAGCGGATCTCTTGTGTTTCTATTCTTTCTATTCTATTTGATTTGTATTTACTATTTTATCTGTTTTATTGTGTTGCACTGTTGGAGGAGCCTGTGACCTAAGATTTTCATTGATATATCTATACTGTAGCTATGTACTCATGACAATAAAAGCCTTGAATCCTTGAATGCATGTTTAAAGAAGACACTACAGTAGAGGTAAATAGGCAAAAATATTTAAGTGTTATGTTTCAATAAGCAAATGATGTATTTATGAACAAGTCCCTCCATTCAGAATACAAATGAATGAAATTGGAAAAATGTTGTATGCTATATATATGCTATTGAAGAGATATTGAGAGTATGAGAAAAATATATGTGGTATAAATTCAAACATTTTTAGAAGTATTTGTTTTCTGAAATACTACGTTTAAACGTGCTAAGGAAGCATTATCTAATTATAACGTCTGGTGGGTTTGGGAGAAATCTGCAGACACAAATAGACCCTAACCCTAACCCTAACGAAGATAAAGATAACAACCTATGTGTATATTCTTTTCCCATAAGTCTGACAGTGATTAATTTCAGATCAGACCTACAAAAACAAATGACCAACTGAGAAATTAGGTGTGTAACCAGCAACACTTAAATCCAAATCCAAGCCACATGTTTGTGGCAAGAGGCCCTCTTCCTTCAATGAGGACCAGAGATTTCATGCTGCAGCTCCATGAGATATTTTACTGAATGTGTGAGCACCAGCTGAGAGAGGAGGACCTACCTGAAAGCTGTCCATGCTGCCAGAGGAGCTGTCGGACTTTCCAAGATCATCATCTAGAGGAAAATAGAAGACACCATTGGACGCATGCAAAAGTTTGCAAAGCATAAACAAAACCTCCTTGTGTTTTTAAAACCTGCTTAATCACTTTCTGACGGGAAAGTTCAGTAAACAGTCATTCAGCTGCACATGAATCAGTAGGATTGAGATGGAGATACAACAGGTCTCAAAGGAACATTTATGAAAGCTCAGAGATCTCCTCAAGAAGAATTGTGTTTTCTCTGATGCGCAGTGTGATTAAGAAAAGCTGAGGAGTTAGGGAAGATTAGTGAGCCGTTTTGTTCAAAAGCATTCAGCCTTTTTCCTCCACGGCTAAGCCTCCTATGAGACAGGAGGTGAGTAAAAGTCTGGGTGGTCTGGTATCACATCACTGCAGGGCAGGGATAGGTAGAGGAGAAGTGAGCCGCGAGAAGTGAGTGGATGTTGATGAGAATGATCCTCAGGTACAGTATCCCAGAATACATATACTGATAGTGATGAATGCGTTTAATGGATTTTCAATATCTATGATTATTATTTAGGATATAATAACTTTGTGTACAATAAAGGAACACTGTAACTACTCAAATTAAACAGCATTAGTAAAGTTACCACATTTTTAGGTCTGAAACATGGTTATTTTCATTATGGATTATCCTATTTTTCTTAATTAATGTGTTGTATTATATATAACAAATATTTGGAAGATGTCGATCACATTTGACCAAAGCCCAAGCTGACATATTTAAATATCGTGTTTTTTCCAACAAGCAATAAAAAACTCAAATATATTCAGTTTACCGTCAGAAGATTCAGGAAAACAGTCAAATTCAAGAAGCTTGAACTGGATATTTTTTTCAAAAAACTGACTCAAAGCAATTATTTTATCATCACATAAGTTTTAGATTACTTTCCCGTTGATTGACTAAGCAATGAATTAGCCTTGAAGCCTTCACATTTCAAATTAAAAGTACAGCAGTGATAAAGTTGTCTAAACTATGACCAAAAACTTAAAAGAGCAAAACTCTTATATTATTCTCATCATTCTGCTAGCGTCAGCACACAGACTGCAGATGTTTGACATATTTTAGTCTGCAAAAAACTATTTCATAATTAAACCACAGATATTTTTGCGAGACTTTAAAAAAACATAATATTCTTTATCATGAACTGGATAATATTTTGACTAACAAAAAATAATATTCCATTTTATATTTGTGTTCTTTCAGGCACTGTAAGAATATGAACCGACGGACAAACACACCATCATGAATGTCTCCATTCCTCTTCTCCGCCATGGCGATCTCAAAGCTGCTGTGCAGGATCTTGTTGAGCAGGTTGATCCAGTCCTCCATCTCTGCCTCGCTTTCCGAGGCCAGCAGGTAGGTGCTCTTATCCTGCATCTTCAGCTCGAAAGCAAACCGTCGAACCTTGGTGTTCTGCAGCCACAGAAAGAAGAGAAAAAGGGGGTGTTAAGAACAATTTAAATAAAACAGTTAAACTTGAAAGATACAACATAATTCAACTTTTTTTATGCCGTAAAGGTAGCAACATTCATGTTTGCCATATATAAGTACCTGATTTTTAATGATTGATTTACTTTGTTGAGTTTAAACTAAACTATAATAACTACAATAACCACCCCAAAGTTATATGCCGCCACCAACGATCCAAAGTGCCGTTTATATCCATGTCTGTCCAACTGGAAATGTCATCACTTCATCTTTGATCCTAGACAATTGTGTGATTTTCTTAAAATGAGCCTATGAATGATTGAGTTATGGCCAAAAACATGATGTAAGGTTACATTGATCTTGACGTTTGAAATGGGCCTTTGTGAAGAAATTCCCTCAACGCGTTCCTGAGATATCGCATTCACAAGCAAGGGTGGATAAGCCAAAAACGTAATGCCCTCTGCCTGGCTACATAAAAAAAATCAAATACCCAAGTGTGGATATTGCAGTCTTTTATCTCACTATCCAAAGCCAACATCTAACAACTGTCGGCTCATCAGAAGGCAGTACAATCTAACGTTTATGATCTAAATCATAGCCTGTTTCATTTGAATTCTACCCTCATACTTCCTTGTATAATGCAGTTTGAGCCTGCAAAACAAAAACAATATACTGAGACCGTTTAGCTCCAAACATTTATAAAATGTGAGTCACTGTTTTGAAAAGAAGTGGGAGTCTAACTACAGTTTTAATTGAACTGCCACAAAAAGCTCATGGACAATGTGAGTGAGGGAGGAACAGATTATTTCCATCTGCTTAACAAAACCTCCCTCTCTGCCAGGACCACAGCAGAGAAAACGAGCTGGATCTGCAGCGGGACTATGACCTCAATGATGTCACCGGCCCATTCAGGCTTTTATGTCCCATTTGTTACCTATAACTGCTGATTCAGCTACAGTGTGTCCATGATAGTGCGTTTTATTAAAAAAATGAATTCAGTAAATCTTTAGCTGACCATAGAAGTCAGCTCATTACTGTGAACACTCAGTGGATTGTTATGCTTTGGTTATCACTGTAGCAGGCTGAACAGAGGGGGAGTGATAGGGAGGCAGACAGGCCGAGTCTACATGGAGAGGGGGAATCAAACTGGACTCTTGATAAACAGTCTGATAGGTAGGAGGACTGGTCTCTGTCAAAAACAGCTGCACACATCAAAACGAAAGTCATTTTTTTATGATATTATTAGCATCTGTGTTCCAAGGAAAGAAAAAATAGGAAAAATGAAAGTTTAAATCCTCAACGTTGACGTTTTAAGGGCGTTTTGCTCCTTGTTAACCTACAGGGACTGCCCTCCACCTCATTAATATGTGGGAAATGCTTTGTGCGTTTGAGCATATGTTGGCATCTTTACAAAGGGCAGGAGCAGCTTCAGGCTCAGTATGACGTCACTGCACAGGCCATTACAGCTGCAGAGTTTAACATCTGCATCTCCACAGTCACTGCTGGTTGAGTACAAGTTGCATGATGAGCAGAAAACTCATCAACTGTATGTGTTACACAGGAGGATGTGCAGTGAATGCTGCTAAATCGGTTCCGAGAGTAACAACAAAACATGGAGAGGCAGCATTTAGCTATTATGCCCCGACACTCTGGAACAAACTACCCAAATCATGCACGTCCGCAGAAACGCTTACCATTTTTAAATCGAGACTAAAAACATATCTCTTTGCCGCTGCTTTTAATTGAGCTGCTCATATTCGAACTACTGTACAGTATGCCTTCTAAACATGTATTGTATACCTGTGGTGTTTATTTTTTATTCTTTTATTATCTTTGCTTTGTAATGCCTGTTGTAAAATGCCATTATATAATGTGTTTTTACTGTATTTATTCATAAAAAGTATTTTAATTTGTTTTGTAAAGCACTTTGAATTGTCGCGTACAGAAAAGTGCTATATAAATAAACTTGCCTTGCCTTGCCTTGCCTAAATCACTGCAGAAAATGAATCCCCAACAGACTGGTTTATTGAATACAGTACAGGTCTGTATTAGCGTATAAGCAAGTGAATCACAACATACTTTAAGCATCTACTTAATTTGACTTAAAACCACGAGACATAATCCACAGGTTTGTTTTTTTATGATATGTGCCTTTGTAGATTTTTGAGTCTACCCTACATGTCGTGTACACCCTTTCTGAACACATTTCCTTTTTAATTTCCTTTTTGTATATGATTATTAACTTTATTTCTAGTTTTCATTAGCAGAGTATAACCAATTAATTTTGTTGCAATAAATCTAATATTATTCGTATTGTGTTTAAAGTAATGTTTTTTGTTATAATATAAAGACATACAAAAATTTTCTGTATTTTCTGGCCTTTTCTTAAAAATGTATATAATGGCACAGAAAAGCGGCAATGTAATCCTCTAATGTTTCCAGCCTAGCCCGATTAAATCAGGAGGTGCTTCCAAAAAATATAGAAAAAGCATTCAAACATTTAGCGTAAATCTCTCCTCCTTGTAGACATTGGCCTGATAGCTATTCCCATCCACTGATAGGAATCAGACAGTCCTGGAAATACACTCAAATAATATCTGATAGATGCCAGCTGAGTGCCTCTTCAGTACGATCAGCTGCTCTCCATCTATTGAGCTGATAGACAGGTGATAATGCACCCAGTGAGTCTTGGCCTGCACTGAGATATCTGCACATGGGATCGATTGAGGGGCCGATGGAAAGTGCACGGAAGTGAGACATCAGCATTCACCTTGTTTTACAATGTGAGAGTCAGCAGTAAAGAATAACCTTGGGAAGGAGAGCTCCGGTTTCAGGGAAATGAACAACAGCAGCAGCAGAGAAATGTTTGTTAAACGTTCACCTTTTATAGTTTACATGTTACACTACAAGTCAGAAAATATGTTCATAGAGAGAAGAATTGTGAAGAGGAAGTTGGTATATCCGTATTTCAGTTTATTTCCTGTAAATGGTGTTTTAATATCCATGAGGGACCAGGCCACAGGATATCCCGTTTGGCGAAGTAGGTCATCCAGTTTAACTACAGTTAAAAATGTACTTCCTTTGTGCCACAGAGAAATATTTCAGAGCGTACCTGAACCACACCCATACAGGAGTCCAAGAAGATGGTTCCTTTGGGCTCTTTGGAGATCTTCTCATCTTTGTAGAAGTTTAAATTATAAGAGCCGTCCCCGAGCTGAGTAAGATGGAAATACCTCCTCTTGAATGACTGGAACAGAAAAAGGAAATACCATTCAACTTCCATTTATTGGAGGAAAAAAATGCAATGTGTTGGTCAAAACAATCTCAAGTCTTCTATTCTCTATGCATTATACAGTATAAGTGTAAGCTGCCAGGAATAATAAGCCTTCCTGTAAAAAGGCAACAAGTATTGATGGATTTAGAGGTAGGGGGTATTGCATGCTGTACTGATAGTAAAAGCTTTTGAAGCAAAATTGTGACTGTGAAATATATAAACAAAATGGATTTAGGGAAAAACATGTAATGGAAATTATAACTAAAATAATGAGATGATAATGTTTTTTATGTATAATTAGTAATGATAATGGGTGATATTTAACCCATACTTACTTTTTCTTAATTTAAATACACATAAAACACATACACTTTTTCCAATTAAAGCATTGTCACTGCAGCTTATTTTTATTATAGATAAATGTGTCAATTATTTCTGGAATTGTCTTGTATATAAAATGTCAAAACTTCTCATCACATCTTACCATCACAAATGAGACATCTATAAATCGCCAAAATCCAAAGCTATTTTGTTTGTCATAATATAACACAAAGAAAACCAAATCCACATATTTTAAGGTGCCATTTAATATTCCTTAGATAAAATCATCAACTAATTGACTAATGGTTTAAATTGAAAATCCTGTGTCTCACCCTCATGGTGACGCTGATGGCACTGTTCATGTTTCCTTTGTACAGCCAGCCATGTTTGGAAAACCCGCCTTTCTGGGATCCTAGGGAGGCCGTATCCTGCAGGGGACAAAGACACAAGACAATGAAATACACACTCATACTGCAAGGAAAAAAAGCCATGTAGTGTATCATTGAAACGTGCTTACCATATTCTGTCCTGTCCACAAATGTACACATGTAGTTCACATTTTTTCCATTTTGGAACAAGTCTTAATACTTTTAATACACAAACTAGTCACCTGTTTCCAATAAATTACCAAAAAGCAGAGAAAGCACATTCATATAAAAATGATGGTTTTGCTTGAAGCAGAATGTGAGTTATTACAGATATTCTTTCAGTGGATCCTCATATATTGACATCAGATTGAACATGCTTTTAACACACGCTGCCAAAGCCTCGCCTCATTTTGGAGAAAACCCCTTGATGTTGTGGTTTGAGATGACACAGAGCAGAACAAGCTGTAGGTCCATCTCAGTGCAAACAAGCAGGCACATTAAACAAACTACGACTGTTAAACTAAATAAATATCTCTGTCTTCACAGCAGATCTATGACACAAGGAACAAATCATCTCACACTCAAAAGGCGGGGAGCATGAGATCACACACGACCAAATAACAAAGCTTCTAAGATCCACCGGTTGTCGTGATCTGTAAAAATAAACCAATTAGGAGGGTAATGAAGGAAGAAGCCCGGTCCTGGTTTAGATCAGCCCTGTCATTTACAGTAACACTTCCTGGCTTTATGAGAAGACAGTAAGAGAACTGTATTCCTGAGAATTTCACACACAGAGAAGATTGAATTTCAAGATGTCTACATCCTGGTCCAGCACTACTTCTTCTTCTTCTACTTTTTCTCAGTCTACTAAAGTAAAATGGGATTTAAAAGTGCTGGGAGGAATTCTAATATTTTCATGTGCCTTGTGGAGTGATTTAAAAAGCAGCTGGGAAGGTTTTGGTCCTGCTTCTCCTGGTAAATGTCTAGACAGAATCACTGGTTGCTTTCTCTATGAACTCCAGAAAACTAGAAACATCTAAAAAAGAAAACTAAACTCAAGTCAGACAAAGAGAAGATGAACAAAATCTCACAACCAATGTTGCATGTGGTCCAAGAACCACCACAAAGAACAATTATCTTAGAGGATGTATTTAAACGTTCAAGCTAATTCCCAGTTTATAAATCCTGTTGGAAGGAGTGGAGGCCAGAGAGAGGGCTTGAGGGAATGAGGAGTGATTTGATCTTGTCAGGTCCTGTCAGAGGTGAAGCTGACTGTGAGGCTGCGCAGGACAAATCCTGACCTGTTACCACCGGGCACAGCCTTCCTTAATCCCAGCTGCATTAAGCAAACACGCAGTTTAGAAGAGGAAGTAAACTTCGTAGCTTAATTTTCTATAAAACCCATGAGCCCCTGTGTGTAAACAGAGTATTTCAGCCGGGGTTGGAGCACATTTTGTTGCCTATAGGAGGAGCAGTTTGACATTTGATGTGAGGAGAGAGGGTCAGGATAATCATCATACATCTTGTGAAGGACCTTTATAGTTAGATAACATTTCAGCCACAGCTTTTGTATCACCTTTGAAGACTCAATTCAGGAAATCTACACTCATTTAACAGGTATGAATAACCAAACACCACTCCATCATACATGAACTAGAAGAGGGTGAGAAGATCCAAATGAGGCTTGACAAAATGAAACTGTGTTAAATAAAGCTATTTTGAGAATGGTGAATCAGCAAAAGTATTTAAGCCTGATTATACTTAATTCCTCCCATTAAATTCAGATGTAGACCCAAATATGCCTCTTATTTCTTTAACAGCTGTAATGAAAACAGGAAAGGCAAAACTGACGACTGGAATTAGACGTGCTGTGTTTCCTTTGGGCCGGGGTTCTAATTAAGAGATGTGAGAGCAAATACACTTATATCAGCTCTCTCTGCTGTAGGTCGAATTTTTGGGGGAATTCAAGGTCGACAAATCTAGACATTGTAAAGAAATAAACTCAGCCTCACCTCATCTTTGTCGACATCTTCATCTACCTCAAAGACATGGACAGCCAGTTTGTCAGGCCTGGACACTTTGCTGTAAAATAAAGAATTATTATTAACAGGCATGTATAGTATTTATTAACACAATCAGAAGCTACAGTGTCAAGAAATATAATAGATTACTACTGTATGTACGGGTAAAGTAACTGCACACTATGCTACTGCACTTGGGTTAGTTAGTTAGTTAGTTAGTACGTTAATAAGTTAATAAGTTAGTTAGTTAGTTAGTTAGTTAGTTAGTTAGTTAGTTAGTTAGTTAGTTAGTTAGTTAGTTACTTGACACCCTGAAAATATGCTCTTAATTTACCACTTTGGAAAGAGACGGTCTTCTCAAAAGACACATTTACTTGGTAGTACTTGGATATGCATGGCGGTTTTGCTTGCTTGCTTTATTTTCAGTTCAATCTGTCTAGCAAATGTGATCTGAAGTTGTGTGACACATTTTTTCTCATTATTTCGTAGTTTTCTTTGATTAAGTACATTTGTATATTTGTGAGTGTAAAGAAAAAGGCTGCATAGATGCAAAAGCAAGTTCCAGGAGTGTTAAAATGGAAATACGCTAAGGTGTCTAATGCTTGATGGAAAATGAAAATGTGCCAAAGGTAAGAATAACATTAAAAATATTGTGGGGTTTTTAACAGGCGATCCAGGTATTGTTTTAACTTCCCCGGATTCACTACAGTGACAGGACATTTGGCGGCAGTGACGGTGTCAAGATCATAAGGTCATTGTCAACTCATATTCCAACACATTGGCAGTAAAACAGATATTCTTCAGGGAAGAGGCTGAAGCTGATGACACAATCTAAAGACAATGAGGGTGGTTTCCACACTGTCTGTAGCCGGGAATTATCCAGTGCATCATTAAAAAGGAAACGCTCTTTTGTTGTGGGGAAATAAGAATTATTTGCACGCTGCGTTTCCCCTGTAATTAGGTCACAACAACATTTTGTCAAAAGTAGGAAACAAAAAGGTGACAGTTTGTCTAGGTGACATGAAACACAAAAACATGCGTGACTTTGTCTTTTATTTAAAAACCTCTGGCATGCATACATTATATACAGAAGCTGTTCTTACTTGCCCATCATAAGAATACCTCGGCACACTACAAAACTACCTCCTTGAATATATTGTACAGAAATGCGGAGGTTCTTCAAACACAGACTTACTTTGGAAGCTGACGAAAGTCTCCAGAAAAGTCCTCATACTTGTAGTTGACAGCATGCCAGTCAGATTTGTAGGTCTTGATGCACTGAGGAGACAATGGAAACACATTACAGACCATTATAACATACTGTAAAATACACAGGAGAGTTGTACATCAGGGTTTTGTTAAGACGTCAGGGACAAAATAACTACTTTGTGTTGTGTGAGGATGGGGTTTTAGACTATTTAGACCACCATCTGACCTGCACTTTGGTTGAAGCATACTGACTTAAAAAATTACCCTGCATGATGAAATTATGCAAAATATGTATCGTCTTTATGTCTCTGAAAGACATAACCCACAATGCAGCTCAACCGCAGAGAGCTCTGTCAAATGCTCTGGTGTGCTAAGCTAAAAGCGGCTAATCATTTATTTTCAAAGTTGAAGGGACATTTTCACGATTTTGCACAGCTTCTTCTGGATCCACACATTTTACTGTGAGAACATTTTTCTCACAGTAGGCAGACAAATAACCCTTCCATAAACCATTCGACTATTGCATTTTTTTTAATGCACTATTTGATGTATTTGACCTTTATGTCAAATATATTGTGTGTTGCATAGCTTAAGAGCTTAAGACTTTCATTGCCAAAACCATGATGTAGCTAATGTGAATATGACAAATAAAGCCTTTAAAAAGAATGTATAAAGTATTTTCCTACAGTTGTTTTTATGAATCCCAAGAACGCACACTCAAAATACATTGGTTGTTTTCACTGCAAAAACTTAAGTTTATGCAGTGAAATTCTTAAGGAGTGTACTGTCAGTGGTCACGCTCTGTCGAAGCATCCATTAGTACAAACTGGGAGGGACTGTATCTCTATCTCCCTTTACTTGGAAAACATCTGTTCATTGTTAGAGTCAGTGATGGGAGCAGCTCTCTCGTATCTGTTCTGCAGAAATGCGTGCCGTTTACAAGAAATACCCTGACAGGGAGACCAAGTGCAACCTGATCAGGACAGCGATCGGAAACAGAGAGGCTCCTGCTGGGCTGATCCACACAGCTGTCCCGGTGATGTCACACAACACTTGATCGGGAGCTTTCTTTATGACTTCAGACAATGCTGCCTAAACCCTGACCCCTAACCTGGAAGGTGAATTGCCAGTTGTTGTCTGGCATGAAAAGACAGTAAAAGCAGTGTTCATGGCCGGATGTTAAACTAGTGTGATGTTTAAAAGGAAGAAACATTTCCCGTTTTTTTAGACATGATTTATCATTTTAGCTGGAAATAACATTGTTTCAGTCCAACTGCAATTAAGTTACCCAACATACAAAGAAGCGTCAATGTGTGTTTTTAAGAACCTTTGTTTAATAGTAATGTTCTGCATTATAAACCAACACTGACAGACAATAACCAGAAGTGATGATAAACTTTAGGACTGTAGAAATGAATTGCACTTATCATTCCTACCTCCCTGCTAGATATAACTGAGGAAACACAGTAATAGTCTGGTTACAGTACCTCCTGCAATGATCTGCAATGAATTAAGATACCATTTACAGAACACTTAAAGTTAGATGAATGCTTTGTTTAGCTGACATACAGTTGGAGGAGCCTGTGACCTAAGATTTTCATCGTCATAACTACACTGTAGCTATGTTCGTATGACCAATAAAAGCCTTGCACCTTGATAAAGAGGTTTCCTTATTAGCTGTGATGTCCAGTACATTGCTGCTAATGTTAGGTAACAAATTGGGTGATCTGTCACATTAGTGTCACAATTCGTTAGCGGTGTGTCTGTGTTGTTTACGTGAGAGTGATATACTTTCCTAACCACTACCTAATGTATTTCTTCTAGATGTTCCACCTATTGATACCAGTTTTTTAATGCTCTGTATTTAAAAGAAAACATTTTCTATACTTTTGTATTCAGTTGTAGTGAATGAAGTATTTTTTACTCAATTGTCTTGTGTATAATAGATCATTATTTTGTGAATCCTTTTATGTATGCTTTGTGTTTTTTTATTTGTGTTAATACACACCTGAACAAAGTATATGGCATAAACATCAAGATTATATAGACTTAAAGGTGGGGTAGGTAAGTTTGAGAAACCGGCTCGAGATACACTTGTTATATTCCATGGAATGCTCTTAACATCCCGATAGCAATGAATATCTTAAGTGCTTTGACAAAAAATCCATAAAAAAATGTCATCTGTGGAAGCTGTAATACTGTAAAAAGCACGACCAATCATTTTAGCCGGCTAAAATAACTGGATGGCCGACCTGCCTGTCAGCCTTCCATCTGTGCACAAACTTATCTCGTGCCCTCATTGGTCATGTGCGCGTTCGTGTGTGTTGGAGGCGGGGCTCAGTAAGGAAGTGGCAGATTTTCTCCGGTCGTGTATTTTCAAATTCTAGCGCACTCGAGCTGGTTTCTCCAAAATTACCTACCCCACCTTTAACAGTGAACATTTCCAAACAGTTCGATTTTTATTTTTTTAACCCCAAGTCCAGATTGGTTCACTTTCTTCCCTCTGAGCTCTTCCAGGACAAAAACAAAAACACAGAAATCTCTAACGTGAAATAACGAAACTGGCAGGAAAAGGTTCTGTTTACATATGACCCCATTAGTCACACTAAGCAGTTGATTAAGAAAATGTGTTTTCAGGGCCTTTAAATCAGCTTACCTCTTGGACGAACACACTCTGGGCCTCCTGCTCTGCATTTTCCGGCAGTGTAGGGTAGAGGGTTCTCCCTTGGCGCCTCAAAATTGAAATCTGCAAAACAAAACAATGTTTTCTTTCAATAAGAGAAACAGAGCAGGGGAATTACAACAACTATGACTGTAAGAATGAAAGCGAAATGTGGAAGACATTGCTCAAGCTGGACACCAAGTATCACAGTTTATGGTCTCAGCTGGACACATTTGATCTGGGTGTTCTTTTAAATATTATTGTATGATTGAAAAATGGCTTTCTGAGTGTTCAAAGGGCAGTGTGTGAGGGAGGCAGGATGCTGGTCCATACTGTTCAGCTCCAGGAGCCACAGACACACCCTGAGTCTGGCTCTCTGCCACTGTTGTACAGCAACACCAATCAGCATCTCAGCACTGCTAATGCTTTATTTAAGCCTCTCACTAATGACCAACAGATTCACAGTGCACTGTAGTCAAACAGCAGAAACAATCAAGACATCTATCTTGTTTTTTTCATATTAATATCACAAATTACACATTTTTCTAAGGGGGCTTTACAGTGTGTACATACGACACCCTCTGTCTTTAGACCCTTGCAACATACAAGGAAAAACTCCCAAGAAACCCCACAATTAATGGGGAAAACATAGACAACATAAAAGCCAAATTAAAATGATAATGTGAATGTATACAAAAAGAATGAAAGATGGATCCAGGTGGATGTCAACTTACAAGTGCCTCCAAATATAATAAGGTGGGCATCATCAAACAAGGGGCAACAAGAACAAGACAAATAAGTTAGAGCCTCAAACCAAGACTAACAAACGAATCAAACTCGAGTAAATCTCAGCTGTAAATCTCACACTCAGTGTAACCACAAGGCCAGTTTTAGCCAAGTGTAAATACTGGCGCTCTGTTTACATGTGAAACTGAGTAAAATACCGCTTTGTGCAACATCATCACCATGAGGTCTTAGCAGGAGGATTAATTTAAAAATAAAGTGCATTTGACCACACATAATCCCTGCAAGCAAGAGTGAAATATGAATAGCACCATTAAGTGAAGCGTTCAGCTGACTGAGTTAAAAGGGTTTGTGGCTTTGTGCGAGTCAAATGCCGGTCAGCTGTGTTTTCTGTGATGAGAGGGATGTAGACAATACCCCCATTATCTTTTCCCCACACATTTATATGGAAATGAGAAGCACTTTGAGTAGAAGTATTCCATATCATAAGGTTACTGTCCAAATTACTACACACTTAATCAAATGAAAGTACTTTGACCACGTAGTAGTGTGTGTCGCAATTACAGAAAAACACACTAGTCAAGTTTCTGCCACATGTGTAAATCAGTCAAATGTGTTTATAATCCCAAACCTTTAAAGTATAAATTCAATCCATTGATCCCTTGTGAAAATCAAGTTGATGAGATATAAAACCTTTTTTAAGAATAATCAAAAATATTATCATTATAACTTTCTAGCTTCTATCACAAGACCTCATAGTTTAAGTAATTTTAAGGATTATTAACACACTACGGTGAGTTTTTACCTAATATTTTTCACATTAGTATATCTCTCTTAGAGATTTTAGTTGAGTAAAAAACACCAAACCTCTTGTTTGAGCTTCTTTAAGGTGAGGGTATGTTGCTGCCTCTCTTTTCTTTGTTTAGACTATGGCAAACTAATTGATTTTGGGCTTTGGACTGTCATGCACATTTTTCACCATTCTCTGACATTTTAAAGACCACATCATTTATGAAGACTACTCAAGATAATAATCAGCATATTCATCTATAATGACACTCAAATGCTAATATTTCAGTGTTGTGTCACTCTCCCTATAAATGACCATGTATTTCCTCCGAATGACCTTGTATTTGACTTAGCGCTGGTCGTGTCAACTACGACAAATTCCACACCGAACTTGTGAGTGTAAACCTGACGTCTCCCTTTCCTCTAACCTAGCCAGGTTTCCTGCAGGGGAGATGATAATCTTTACAACCCAAGCAGCAGAAATAAACAGGCATGGAGGTAAGAGGGAGCCAGGAAGTTGGCAAAGGAAGCATTTAATCGGGCTAAAGGTCAACTGGGAGAACCGAGGGATTATCTGGTGAAATAAACCCTAAATTACCACATTGTTGTAGTCGATTCTTATTATCAACAAATCCCATTAATAAACAAAATCAATAATACATTTTCCAAAAATAAAATCATATTTCTATGTACCATAAACCCCTATTGTTTAAAAAAAAATGAAGACAACATGAGCTACTGGTTGCACTGGGTGTTCCTTCATTTATAGTCAATCCCACAAACACTGTCCAGCTGCTGAAAATACTTGGGTATCAATACTAATGCATCAAGTCTGTGGCTGAATGTAGTCCCAAGAAACACACATATAACTACAGCTTGAGAAATGTTTGCTAAAAACTACGTATATTATATTAATAGTAAATGTAAAAAAAAATTGTAAAAAAAGAAAATTAGGAGTCAACACTCATGCTAGCAGCTTTGCCTACATGTACTTAAGCACATCAGTCACATGTGCTGGTTTGTTGTCATACAAATGTTATTATTCACCACATAGTGAGGCAAAAGGAGAATTCAGGGGATTACAAAAATCAATATGGTTTATCCTCTGGGAACCATTAATGTATGTACAAATGCATCGCCGCATGCAGGGTAGGGAAGTTGGCAAGTGTTGAGAGAACAAGACACATGGGTTTTGGTGTTTTCATTTTAAGTGGCGTTTGGGAACAAAATATAAAAAAAACATTACTAGCTTTGTCCTTTCAAGACATATAAACTGTAATGGCTGAGGTAAAGGAAAAATAACAGTATCCTGATTTGTGGAATTTAAGCTGGGGATGGGCCTTACACCTGAGGGAAGGAAGGGCCCCATCCCCCGGTAATCCTCAACAAATTTCTCCAGAAACCTTGCGGGTAAAGCACTGAACAGAACTGACTTGTGCCAACGACTTTTCAAATCTAAACCAGATGGAGATGATATAAATACTGGCTCACACAAAAGCCGTACCTACCAACACATGACTCTTAATGTGCCAGCTGGGATAAGATGAGAACCTGATTGTAAATTCTGTCCATGAGGAGCAGCCAAAAACAGGTTTCACACAAGAATAACAACACAGTCAGAGGATCTATTTATGCCTGTTTTGGTATTCATTCATCCCCAAGTAACACATGTATACTTTCTACTGTCTCTATGCATTTGAGTTTTCTGCATGACTCCACACTGCCTGTCTCCTCTCACTAAAATCAGCTAACATTGAAAAGGCCTCGACACAGAAGCTGATTGAAACCTTGCTTGAGTCCGTGGGGGTCAAAACAGATGTTTAGTTCAATCACTGTGACTGTGGTGTTTTATTCTCTCGGTCAGAATCACCTGTCAGTCCCTGACAACGCACTGTTTGTGTGTAAAGCTACTATGTTATGTTCATAGCAGCAGGCTGGAGGAGCATGACACAAGAGAAGACAAAGTCAAGGCTGCCATGCCTTCACCGAGCACACAGCTGCCAGACCTTTATGATCTGTAACAACCAATAGCTTTAAACAGAAGCAAACACAGCCATTATCAGCAGTACAGTAACTTACATCCCTGTTACACATTTAACTATTAAGATAGCTTTGGTGATCTGGGTCAGAAAGTGTTTTTTAGATAAGATATGCACAGGGGAAATTACTGTTACTGATAAAGTGTGTGCATTAATATTGTTTATTTTCCTTTCATTATAAACTAGCAACTAAGAAACTAACATTATCATACAATGTGTTGCTGTTTGGTTATTAACTCAAGGGCACTTCAGAGATCCTGAGTATGACGGTATCAAATAAGATGCATATCCTTCTGACTTTCTGGAAAGAAAAGCCTTTTGCGTGAACATTTTGAAACTTTTTGTCTACTCTATCCGAGCATTTGACTCCCACTACAGCTGTGGTGGAAGATTTTTAGAAATGTCTTTATGTCCTCAGTGGCTTTCACTTCAAATCAAAATGCAACTCCTCCTTCCACATGACCATCATGGCACTTTAGAACGTTTTGTAAAATGTGTTTCTGTATACAGTAAAAACATTACTGTTTTGTACTTTGTACTGTCTTATGTGGGCATTCAGCAATAACAATAAAATAACATTTCAACTGGATCGTGAGACAGAGCTGCAGGGTTCAGATTTGATTCCTGCACATCTCGCTGCTGCTGTTGGTAAAAAAGATATTTCGATCAGGTTTCATTTCCTGAAGAACCAGCACTGGGCCAGATTTCCATTTTAGATTTTCCATCCTCACCGTGGAAAGTGTGAGGGGGAGCGTACGTCCTGTACAATGTGGCTGGAGATAACACTCGCTTTGTCACAACATTGGCGTCAGAATGAGCCAATTAAACAGATGGCCCCTGACCCCTCTCTCTCTCGCTACAACGTGGAAGGATGTAAACAAAAATAAAACCTCTGTGAACAACCCCACCCTGCACTCACAGCGCCGGCCACGCCTGGGCCAAAGGGAAAGACGCAAACACATGAAACAAAGAAAACACGCAAGTGGGTGGGTAAAAAAGGATGTTAGAGAAACAACAATAAAAAGAACATCTTCTAAAAAATGACTCTTTAATCACTTACAGTATAAGCAATTAGGCTGTGACATTTCTCTCCCGTTAGTTATTCGATAGTTTCCACCACAAACGCCCCACTATTCACAGCATGAGTAGACACACTGGAAATCAAAGCCCTAACTCTGGCAGTAACCAGTCCCTAAACTAAACACGACCACTAACTTTACCTCACTTCCATCGTTAAAATCATACTCCTCAGCAATATAATCCCAGCAACGATACCCACAGCCAGATTTCCTGAATGAAACGGGTGTGAAACTCACCTCAAAGTCCTCCAGGGGGAACTGTAGCATGTCCCGGAGGACATCACTGAGGATCTGTGTCTTCCTCTGCACCAACACATTTTCATATTCCAGCGGCTCGATCACCTTTGGCTTCACCTGGAGAACACAGAGAAAGTACACGGTTACTTTTGATGTATGCAAAGACATAGGAGGAAATGTGGCTATTTTATGCACTGGATCGAGGAGAGAGATGTCAGGAAATGAGGGAAGAGAAGGATGACATGCAACAACAAACTGGGCACGTTGCAGTTCATTGTTGACACATTCACTGATACATATTACAGACAAAAGATATGGCAGATAAATCCCCCCCAAAAACTTAAGCTCAAAGTGCCAAACAATAAGAAATAAGAATATAAATCAAATTGAAAAAAGGGGAAATGTGCAATGACATTTGATTTATAACCAAGTAGATGATAAAAAAATAAATGAAAGTAAAAATAATAGAAATTAAGCATATAGTTGTGCAAAGGAGTAGAGATAATAGTTAGAGTTGTGCATTGACCGGCTTCTACTGTACATTGAGTTTGATAGCCAGCTGCTCCCACATTGGGCTTTACGAACACATGCTATATGTCATATTCCATGCACTAAGTCTATCAGGGCTCCATCTGCTGAGAGTAAATGCATCCGCCTCAGCAGTGGGAAGGTCTTGATGAGCTTATCCCTCCGTGAGAGCGAACATGCATGACATATATGTCAAGGAAACAATCACACTCCACTTCAATTACAGGCACCACATGAAACACAATTATCCTTCGCATCGTTAAACAAACAAACCTCCAACATCCTATTTTACTTTCATCCTACTTGATGAGAATCCCTTAGTTTGTAAATGTTGTTTTAAAGCCGACTCTCAGGAGCAGATGTGGTTATTGAAAGGTGATTATGGATTTATGGTACATTACGTCAGTGTCTGCATAATGCTAAAGTATCGACCCACTAAAGCTGAGGATTGATAGAGCTTACACACAGTTACAGTAGCCATTAGATGGAAAGTCAGCTGTCAACACCTTTAGCTAACTGGACGGGAGGATAAATCTTACGTCCAGAGAAACAGCCGAGTGCAAAATGAACAGTGACGAATCGGCCGATTTCAGAGCTGAGCGACGGCTCGGCCCACATGTTGCCTCCACATCTGGGACTGATAATACTAGCATGATCTCAGAGGGAGAGTCATGGATATTGACCTGCTTGAATACATGTTGCTAGCAACCTTGTTAATAACAGAGAACAGCTCACATTGAGGACAGAGGAGGTACGACTGGTTTCAAGGACACGGAGGGGGATATCAGAGCAGGGATGGTGCCACCAAGTCTGCCAGCTAAAGCATGCTGGGACATTATCAGTCAACTGTCATTCACAGCTTAAACTGAACATAACACAAATAGAGTTACAAATAAATACAATCAGACATCAACAAACTGTATTCTCTCTCTTCCATTGAAGGGATACAGTACAGGGTCTGATGCATATCTGTTTCCAGGCAGGACAGGTACGTCAGGAAGGATTTCAAGATGTCTGAGAGATAAGATGTGTGTCTGTTTCTCGCTTGAATTGACCTAAATTGTGTAAAATCTTTCTACAAAAACCAGCCTGTAACAGACAGTGAACCCTTAAAAAAACCCAGGTACATACAGAAGCTTTGTCGTTATTTACTAGGTGAAAAAAACCCTGACTATGGCAAGTAGACACATCAGGGGAATTAACCAACGCCTTCAGAAAGTAAGAGGGAGTTAAGGTCAGAAGTGAAAGGAGTTGATAATGTACAGCTGGGGACGTTCAACACTTTCAAACAAAGACAAAGGGAGAGAGTCACGAGAGAAAAAACAGCAATTAAAAAAGGGATTCTGATATTCAAAGTAGCTTCTAAGATATTTGACCCCATTATAGAGATAGTGCCCTTTTCTCACGAGTGATGGATTCCTGACCTCACGCTGTTGTTGCTGACTATTGTTTCACTCCAAACCCCTCTGGGCTCTCCCACACTGTCAGTGGTCAGTGAAGGTGGTCAACCACACAGTACACTCAGCACTGAGCAAGAGAATGAACAAACATACAGTGCCATGTAAGCAACTGCTCTGTCATTCCCACAAAACCAACATGATGACCCTTGTGAAACACTTTTGTTGTATCATTGTCATACCTCAGAATAGGCTTATTAAGAACTCTTGTTGAGTCCATGTCTCTGAAACTGACAATAGTCCTGTTTCTAGTGTCTTTATAATACACCATAAACTATTTTGAACACAGTTAATAGTAAAATAAGTCCAGAACAATGCAAGCTGTATGTTTCACATCTGTACAGTTAAGTTAACAGACAGTCGTGTTTGGAAAGCCCATAAAACAGAGACTTCTGAAGTCATCTCTTTAACTCCCTCTCTACAGTGATCCAGCAGCTGTTTAGCTGCAGCACCACTCCTCCTCCCATCACTGCACCCTCACTTCCATGAACAATGGTGCTGTGTAGTGCCTCTCCACTCACTGATACATTCAATCTCGTTGCTACTGTCTTCTTCACATGGCCCTGCAGATGTAACAATAGGGCACCTTGTTCACAGGGGAGGAAGTTAACACTGTTGTCAGAGTTGACTTTTGATCCAAATAAAAATGTTTTACAAGCCGAGGTTATCTTAAAAAATAAACTTGAGGAAGCTGGTTGCCTCCAGGTGTTGGTAAAGTTCAACATTCCTCTATGCTGGTGCTAACGTTGCACTTTCTGATAGCGAGTGCAAATGAAAGAGATTTAAAGCAGACGTTCACATGACACCTGCTTTGGGACTTTATGACTGTGGTTAACCTTCGGAGCGATGCACTCTAAACAATGTCCTGACAGATCATAAAAAGCTTTTTTAAATAAATCAAAAAGGTCTCACATGTTTTTAAATGAAAAGTCTTTCAATGACTTACCACCACCTGTGGCACCGAGTCTACCTCAGTCTCAGCTGCAGCCAAGCTCGTGTACTGCTGCGGACTCTCAATGACCAACTCCTTCTTTGGAGATTTATTAGCCCTTCCTTGCATTGTCAACAGCTGTGGTAAGATATCTCCGAGCTAGATCCCAAAGAGAAGTGAGCAGCCAGCATATCCGATGGAGAAAATCCTAGCGATCGACAAAAGTTTGGGAAGTTTGCATTTCTCCTCACAGACTCACACACCCTCCCTTCTCAGACTGCTCTGTCTGACTGAAAGCAGTGGACTCACACACAGACGGAGGACATGGCCCCTCCTACACTCAGCTGTGCTGCCTGGGGGAGTTAAAAACCCTCACACACACACACATACAAAGATATCTGACCCCACACTATCCACCTGCAGTGACACAGGGTTGACAAAAGGCAAACAAAAGATATGCATTCCTCGAGTATTACAGTGTGGTCAGGGACTGTCCACGCCTTGTGTGGGACAGCTGTAATAAGAGCTGGCTTGAGTTTCATAAAGGAGAACAAGCTGGGAGAGAATGGGACAACAATGGGGCACTTCGTGTTACATTCAAAGAAACCGCCCAAGCGTCTACATACAGTGTGAGGGCACCAAGTGACGAATCGGCTGCAGCGATTTAGAAGTGATTTCTCCTGTAAACATCACAGATAAGCTGCCAGGCTCATCCGATTGTAGCAGGCGCTTTAGAGACAACATGGACAAATCTTGACCCGCATTAACTGCTAAAGACTGAGGAGCAAATCATTCAACTCCATCTGAAGCAACACTGCTGTATATCAAGTTAGTCATCACAAACTATGACAGTCAAATGAGTCACTGACGTTTTCACGGCTGGCTCTGACTGCAGCTGAGATTGTAACCGTTAGTAACCAGAGAGATTGTGTTTAGGTCGAGCTTCTGTCTCGCTGCTTGTTGATGCAACTGCTCGAGGGGCATTCCAGCACGACGCAGCCCAGTCGACCCACAGAGGAGTGGGCCCGACCTGCAGATTCCTCATAGGGCCACAGCAGGGGAGGATGTTATCTTTTCACGCCTGTATCTTAAAGCCTAAGGCGATGGGGGGAGGGGCCAGGTCAGCTGCTCCCCTCTCACAGTCACATGACCCTATGGGCCCCACACAGGGATTGGTATTGGGGTGCACCATGATGCCCTCAAGATTTCACAAACAGAGTTAGAGACAAGATCAGATCACTTCTGTCTGGCACATCACAAAGCACATTCTGATGACAGCGTCCGAAAAGATGAATATAAAAGTGAACTGCCCTCTGTCACTGATCCAGATCTATGTGGGTTCTCTGTTTGTGTTTTATAGATATAAGCTTATCCTCCGCATCAGGTGCAAGCAGGCTCTGAAGGGTGAGTTACACATGATTATCATCCTGGGGGAATGCGGGCTCACCAAGCGTCAAAGTGAGTCAAGGTACACTTCCTGTCTCAGATACCTGTGTGCTCTTAGTCACTTTTATAATGTACATATCACTGTTGAACTCAAATGTTTCTCAAATAAAAGGGAAGTAAATAACAAGCAGGTGCTTTCCAGAATGAAAATGGCAAAATACAAAAAAATGCATCAGGATTATATATATTTTTTCAACTTCTCTAAGAGCTACATTTCATTGGATGTTTATCCTAACCAAATTCCACTTTGGATGCTCACTGCAGACGATGCAGTGCACTCCCACCCCTCCTCAAACCACAATTCTCTGGACAGTTTCATATTTGTAAAACACATTCTTGTTTACTATATCACACTCTGTTTTCCCTCAAATGGCAACTTTGCATTCTGCCCAATCAAAGTCTGCAGGAACAGGAGTAGACATTTTATTGTTCAATGCAAATGCAATTTGGTGGACTATCCATTGAGCTACATTAAGATTACAGGCTACACTGATAACTCACTTACATTGTTGGACATTTCCTTTAATGTACTTAATTGTGCATAGAGAACTAATTGTTTGACTTTGATCTTTGAGTTTAAACAAAGACATCTCATATCTGAAGAGATAACTATCTTCAGACACTTCCCTTTTACTCCGCAGCCCTGGTATAGAGGTGTACACATGATTGGCGTGGCACAGTTCTTAAATTAAATTCAGACCTTGTAATGTCATGCAGATTTATCCATGGAAACCATTTCAAATGTGTTTCTTTGG